AACGACCAGAGTGGCGACTCCAGTGTCTTCCACGCCACCAAATACTTACACAACCACAGTCAACACATCTTCCAGGGTATTTGTATCACCAGACACGGCTCCTGCGAGCGGATTCTTCCAGGGAGTAACGGAATGGTCTGAGCGTCGCAGCGACGTCAAAGAAAGCAGAACAACGTTTTCACCTGCCACACCCCACCGCCCTGACCGCGTTCAGGTGCTCCCCTCCGGTCCAAATCACACTTTCAATCAAAATACCAGAGGAGAAATAATTTCACCACATAGTAGCAATAACAATCTTGACAGAGTATCACCGCACCTAATCACAAATCACATATCTGACAAATCCTCGCCATTTCAGTCATCGATACAACACAGCAGCAACAGGACATCAGCTCACGAGAGTAGCAATTTCTTAACAATGGAACGCAAGGCTTCGTCGCATTATAAACAGAATAACGGAAGGCGTTCTCCATATCTGCAGAAAACGTCAGACAGATCATCTCCATATCAGAGTTATAATGGTAGCAGTCGGCCGGAAGTGATAAGAGAATCTCCTAATGGATACCCAAGCATGGACAGGGCGCCATCTCCTTACCTCCAGAAAACAAATCCGAGAACGGAATTCGCGCTTAACGGAAGAGCAGCTACTCCCTCTCATGATGACGATGACAGAGGACAATCGCCACAACCGCCATACAGGAGGCGCCATGTCGTTCCCGAAAACGTGAGTGTGCTTTAACTAAGTTTTATTGGTTCTTAGGCTAATTAATAGCTTCACTGCAACAGTCAACTTGATCCTAGAGGAATGGAAAGTAAATGCGTGGACTGAAATCAAACGGTTAAGTATGAGGTCCAAACATCTATTTTGTACGAAGATTTCTGTCGTCTGAGTTGTTGCGCTGTGTAGTCTGGTAGATGTTTACCAACGTTTCAGAGGCCATATTGCCTCCATCATCAGGGCGATTCATTGTTTCTGTCTCTGTACCAGGCCCATCAGTCTCGTATTTGCTTCCAGGTTTGTCCTATAATTTTAACTCGTTTGCCGGATAAAATTATACCAGGAAGGAAATAATGGTTTGATACAACTATAATTAAAACGAGTGTCTTATGTAAGGGTATTTGACTCGAATGGGAGACATTAGGTTAGGTTGGGTTAGGTTTGTATACGTTATGTTGTGGGTTCCACTTGCAACCGGAGCGTCTTCTGCGGCGACTATTCGTCCTTCGAAAGCGTCGCAACGCTAGGCGTCCTCTTATGGTATTGAGCCCACCTTTATACCAAGGATATAGACCGGAATTTAGCATCGTTTTTGGGGTAACGACGGAAGCGTCTCGACGCTCGGCGCCGGGTTCCTATTTAAGTGTTCAGTGTCATTCGGAGGCTTATCTGGTGTGATTGTGGCGTAATTTTGAAGGCACCTCAATTCTCGGCGTCGCGACGCCAGGCGTCTATTTTCTGATGTTGCTCCGAATGATATCCGAAGTATTTGAGTCACATTCCTAACGTATTTTGATGTCGTGACGACTGGCGTCGCGACGCTCGGCGTCGGTTGTAATTTTGTGCTTCAATGTTATCTGGAGATCTGTTTGCAGCAAATATGGCGTCATTCGAGGGCGTCGCGGTGTTAGGGTTTCGCGACGCCTGGCGTCGGTTGTCCTAATTGGGTTGGGTTACTAGGTGTGTTCAGTGTCATCCGGAGGCTTATCTGGTGTAACTGTGGCGTCATTTTGAAGGCGTCGCAATGCTCGGCGTCGCGACGCCTGGCGTCTATTTTCTGGTGTTGCTCCGAATGATATCCGAAATATTTTAGCCGCATTCCTGGCGCCTTTTGATGTCGTGAAGGTCGACGTCGCGACGCTCGGCGTCGGTTGTAATGTTGTGCTTCGTCATCTGGAGGTCTGTTTGCAGCAAATATGGCGTCAATCAAGGGCGTCGCGGTGTTAGGGCTTCGCGACGCCTGGCGTCGGTTGTCTAAAATACGACGCAGAGTTATTGAAAAGTTTAAGTCATATCCAGCCCGTTGAGATGGCGCCGTGAAGACAGTATGACGATCGTGTTGATATTATGGAATCGACGCCTGGCGTCTTCACGCTTCTATCCGATGCGCCATGATTTACGTTGTCCTCGAGAGGCGCCTAACATACAGGAAGTCACCGGATGACATAGGACTGGAATTATAAAACCTACGCTGAGCGTCGCGACGGATTTCTTCGCGATCCAATGAATGGACGTCTGGAAGGTGACTAAATTCCATATAAAATGATTGGGAACGGTGTCAGAAAAGCGTCGTCGGGCGTTACGAGTTCTAACTTCGGTACGCGACGCTCTGTTGTTTCGGTGTAAAACTTGAGATAAGGTAACGAGGGGAGTAGATATGAAAGAAGCCGCGAAGAGAGTAGTACGAGAAGAAAACAGCCGTGGAAAAGTGACAGAGAACTGAGAGGAAGAAAGTGAGAAACGGGATCAGAGAATAGATGAGAGTCTAGGAGAAGGGAGGGGAGCTGAAGAGAGTAAAAGAGAGTTAACAACAGTTTAGCTCGGGTTAGGTTAGGTTACGTTACGTTGGGTTAGGTTAGGTTAGGTTAGGTTAGGTTAGGTTAGGTTAGGTTAGGTTAGGTTTGTATACGTTAGATTATGTTGTGGGTTCCATTTGCAACCGGAGCGTCTTCTGCGGCGACTATTCTTTCTTCGAAGGCGTCGTTACGCTAGGCGTCGATGTTATGGTATTGAGCCCATCTTTATACCAAGGATATAGACCGGAATTTGGCGTCGGTTTTGGGTAACGACGGAAGGCGTCTAGACGCTCAGCGTCGGTTTCGTAGTTAAGTGTTCAGTACCATCCGGAGGCTTATCTGGTGTAACTTTGGCGTCATTTTGAAGGCGTCGCAATGCTCGGCGTCGCGACGCCTGGCGTCTATTTTCTGATGTTGCTCCGAATGATATCCGAAGTATTTGAGTCACATTTCTGGCGCCTTTTGATGTTGTCGTGAAGGTCGGCGTCGCGACGCTCGGCGTCAGTTGTAATTTTGTGCTTCAATGTCATCTGGAGGTCTGTTTGTAGCAAATATGGCGTCAATCAAGGGTGTCGCGGTGTTAGGGCTTCGCGACGCCTGGCGTCGGTTGTCCTAAATGGGTTGGGTTCCATGTATGTGTTCAGTGTCATCCGGAGGCTTATCTGGTGTTAGGATAACATTAGCATGGATATCAGATAAAGACGTCGGCGATGAACTCTCTCTGGTCATATTGCCAATGAGTTAGTCATAATGAATTGTAGCGGCTAGTGTGTATGAATGTGAGTTTATTTGTTGCGTGGCTCGAAATTGTTGTCTTTTAACTAAGCAGTAATGAACACGGAGAGCTTTGCAAATAATATTTGTATTTTATACATAAAAGCTAAGTTATAATCCCATAATTTTTGCACATCTGTTAAAATAATTTAGCACAAAGTGATACTTGTGCCCGATTTACAATTGTCGAAACGAGTGTGATGTTACAGGAGCAGCACAGCCACCGGTACGAAAGAGATGACCCGTTCCACCAGCACGAACACAACCAAGAAACGGAGCCACCCCCGGACTACCCGCCGTCTCCAGTGCAGCACACAAACAGGAACTCGCCGTCTCCTTCCCCGTCCCCGTCCCCCCCTCTGGAACAACCGCCGGAGACACGAGGTAGCCCTCCTCCGAACAAGAAGTTGTATCAGCGTACGCGGTTTGCAGCCGACATCCCACCCCCTTCCAACCGCCAACGAACTAAGTCCCCCGGACAGAGCGCCACGTCAATCATAGGCGAATCGTTCCGAAAACTCGTCGGCAAGTTCCGATCTTCGAGTTCCGAAAGGAAAAACAAACGCCACAGCAAGAGATCATCGCGTTCGCCGTCTCCGCATCACCAACACACGAGCTCCACCTATCAGCAGTACCACGTCATTGACAACAACATTCCTTCCGTGGTGGGACCTGGGAAGTCGTCGCGAGTGGGACGGCGTGGAGGCGAGTCGCCGAACGAGGTCGAGCGAGGCGGCGGGGAACCCGAAGGCGGGGAAAGTCAACCGGTCGCTCCACCAAGAACTGCCAGAACTGTTCGAGGCGAGACCGAGAGACGGGAGCGTAGCACGAGGACAGGGCGACAGGCAGCGGGCATGGACTACCATCGGCGAGGCACGTCACCTGTGGTGCAGAGGTTCTACCTGGGGGAAGATCCTTTCGGAGGCAGTATTTACGGACGCGAAAGAGAGTACGATGGCGTCACTCCCGTCAAATCTAGCAGAAGGCATCAGAAACAGAATGGACATCGCAGAGGTAGTCACCCGGGGGAAGAAGAAGACATGAACAGGTATATGATTGAAAAATAATTTGTTTCAACCTAGTCGAACTAGAATGTCGTAGTCAAAGAGTTTGAAGCCAGTATTTCGCTATACAAACAAATCAAAATTAGACTCGTTACAGATTGACTAAAATGTTCGTAATGGGTTTTTCGTCACACCAGATGTGTCTGTTTCTCTTAGTTAGTCATTTGTTCTCTGCACCAGCCACACATAATGATTATTTTCTCATGAATAAGTTTCTTCGACTTGGTTAATCGCATTTCCTTCTCACCTGATGTAGAACATGAGTCGGTCACCACAGTCTCGTTTGTGAAAACGCTGTACAGTGCGTGAAAGTGTTGGTAGCGTCGACAGTCTGATACCTCGCCTCCTTAAACGCCATCTGGACTGACATTTAAATTAAGTTATGCCCTAGTTGCCTGCCCTTGCTCTCCTAGACGGGCCTATAATGAAATATTATTAAGCGTCATGTTTTGGTTTTTATAATAAGAATAAAATTAAACAGTGACCGTATCCACAGAAGAAGAAGTTAAACTACACCCATTTCACTTCTCTGTACTGGGCGACATATTTGGAACCATCAGTTCATCTTCTGGCTTCTGATTTGTTACACAAACTATAATTATTACATCAATTGATAGAGTAAATTACGTCCCTAGATTAAGTTCGTATTCAAAAATGTTAAAATATGACTACATTATACTCTTAAATGTTGCTTATATATTGTTGGATCGTAATCATATGTCGTAGTTGTGTGTTTTCCAATTTGGAACAAATTTAAGCATATACACATGAGAATCGTTTAAAAAAGTGCATGAAATTGTCGAAAATATGCCTTATATTCAGAAAGTCTGTTATTATAGGCCCTACACAACATGAAATATTCATATATTTACTGGTTACATTTTTTGTGTGACTGTTTTAATTTAATATATAATGTATTTTCACATATAAAGCTGTAACTATTATTTATCAATTTTAGCAGTCTGATTTAATAAAAACATTACAGCAGGGACTCTAAATACCAAGTTTGTACAGAATTCTTTTCTTCGGTATGAGGAGACGAGGACAAAGCGAAATCTGAAGTCTCCCAATCATTGTTCTAACACGTGACTGAAATGTACTGTACATGTTTAACTTAATTTGAAGTTATTTAAAGTAGTATCTGTGTAAGTTTCAATGATTTTAACGATTTTAACACAATGACAGTTTTTGTTTCATGCCCTTAATCCATTCGCAACAATAATTATTTATCTGTAATATATAAACACCAAGGCCACGTTTTAAGACCAAGTCCAAGGCTAAATATTAGATTTCGCATGTAATAAAAAATTTTAAAGGACGATTAAGATGTTTATGTTAGACCCAGTAAACATAGTGGCATGTTTAGAGCTTGCGTAGGTTAGAATAATTTTAATTAAGTTAAAGTTATTGCTTTATTGTAAAATATTTTGTCTTTCTTGTAAAACTGACAGGATAAATAACTTAATCATCCTTTGGTGACCACAGTTCTACAGGTTGTACTATTGCAATACAAAATGTTTTAAAGAGAAGCTATACGTAGGCGAGCACAGGTTGCAAAATGGCCGAGACTTGTGTTATGTGTGTGACCTTCATCTCCTAATAAGGTGTGCAAGACAGCACAGCAGGAACGCACGTCGGTTTGCAAATGTTTATCACGTCATATTTAGGCTCAACGTTGTGATCTGCCTATTTATTTCCAAGTCCACGAAGAACAGAACTCGTACAAATATTGATGCAATTTCAGTTTCAACAAACATCTGAAACGTTGACTAAGAATTATGAGTCATGACGTTGCTATTTGCCCTCTAATTGTTGTCATAATGACATTCAAGGCAGGTAACTTCTTGTGACGTAAGCCCACCTGTCAGTTCCCTGCATCAAACTATGCTCACGCGTAGGTTATGGACTCCGTGTCTCTGAAGTGGGTGGGATTCGACATTGGTCTGAAGCCAACGCAAGTTACAAGATGTCGTTACCTTTGCTTCAGTAACCATTTTTTATTCTCTCTGCTTCCATCCCACTAGAATCGTCACCGCCACTGCCAAAAATAAAAATATTGGGTCATAATTTAACCCGTTCAGGCCTCAGTCTTCTATTAGGGTCTTCCAAGTTTAATAATAACAAGAACTGCGCAATGGAGGACCCAGAGGATTCCTGTCTGGGCCTCAGTTTTCCAGTTAGTAATATCTTCAAAGAAGACTATAATAACAGCAGTAACATAATTAAATTAAGTTAATTTACTTGCTTGATAACAGCCAGACAAGGTAAATTACAATCAAACACAAAAAAGTACAGATTAAAATAATGTACTATAATCTACAAATTACTTAATCAATAAGTAATAAGTATTAATAAACAAGCGAAACATAATAAATATTTACAATGTCAAACTTTCAGAGTGTTATTCATTTTAATCCAGTGCTTGGTAACAGCTGAACAACAATAATTGATTTATCAACCACAAATTTTTATTTGGGGCGGGGGGAGAATGGAATGTGATAATTCTTTCGTCTTCAAATCGGGGTATCAGGTCTTAAGTTATCAGTAGACCCATTTTCTAAGTACAATTATCGCTGTTGTCATGAGCGACAAGAAGCAGTCAAGATGTTTACTGGTTCGGTCTTCAGTTCTGCGGTGTCTTCCTGGTCCTTTGTTTCAATTATTTGTACTTCGAAGTTACGCCTCTGTGCAGTTTGTTAGATTAATTTATTTCTGTAGCGTTAAGTCTAAGCTGCATTGGACCGATCTTCAGTTCATTTCACATATCTTGTATCCTTTTGTGACTTTTCCATGTATACGTTGTATCTCGTCTTACGAATTTTATATTTTCACCTATGAATCTGGATTTTTCGTTTTGTCTGTCTGTGTTTTAAAAATCAGATTATTCTGTGTTCCGAATTGTTTGTAATCACAATCAGTTTCCTGCTGCCAAGCCAACAGCTAGGCCATTTCGGGCTACATCGTTGCTCAAAGTATGCCAGCAACTTTCATTATTAGCGGGGGTTTTGGATACGCTCCAAAAGACAGCCTTATCAATATGGCAGAAATCTGTTGATCTATCGCATTTCGTGTAACTCAATATCGAGTCGTCTCTTAAAACTTTTTGAAACTGACATCTCACTTTCTGCGACCGACTTTCCCCCCTTGCTTCTTAGAAAATAATGAACTTAAGAATAATGTCCATCCTTTGTCATCATGCCAATTTAATAATCACTTAATTCAACTTGTTTTCACAAAACGAGGCTCTGCGACCGAGTCACGGTTTTATAACTATTACGTCTGAAGTCGAGGAATAGCAGCTGTCGTAGATAAGATTAGTTTCAAATTTGATTTCAATTTAGTAATGACTATAAAATGTGTTTAATTGTTTGATGTGTTGGCAGTATATACAAAAGGTCGCATCTGTTAACGCTGAATGCAATAGCTCTTATAGAAATAAATTCTGAAAATGTAACAAATGCATGTAAAGAGATTTCAGTATACTTATGTGTTTTATATGACCCGTGCACATTTTTTGTAATACTGTTTCACTCTGATAAATAGTTACCTGATATCAGAAAACGTGTCTTGTTAATAACGCCAGCATATGGCAGTAATTATTGCTGTGAGCAACTTTTCACTTAATGAAGAACGACAAATCTAGAACTAGGACACACTTCACTTATAAATACTTCGAAGAAATGAATTGAATCTCAGCAACAGACAAAAAAATCTGACATTCAAAGATTGCTCAAGTAAAAGCTGTATTAAACATCTAAGTTACGACTAATTACATTCAAGTAAGCTGTTGAGAAATATATGAACCTGATTTGGTAGTAGGTATAAATTAGTAGCATTTTTAATAATCTGCCGTGGCATTTCAATAAATTGTCCTCATTTATAATTTTGCGACCCTCGAATCGATAAGCAAAGGTGAAAGTGACCCCAAGTTATGCAAAGGTATCTAAATCCCTGCATTAAATGCTCTGATAGCAAATTGTGTGGTACGTAATATGCGCTTTATGACGACAGACGAGACATGAGCTAAAGCAGCAGATAAATGACGATAGACACTAATATTGAAGACCGCATGACGATAAACGCCATTCATTTATGTGCCATTTTATAGTTCACGACAACACACGTTATAAATAGATTTACTTCATGACCGTCAATGCCCTGAATTGCACATTTTAATCCTCTAAATTTTACGTTTTTATTTTCAGAACCAAAGCTAGCAGCAACACATTGGGACGTCTAAGCAAATCGACGAGTCGACTGGCAGGTGGTGGTTCATACAGCCCTAATGGAGACCCGAGTTTGAGTCGAGGTGCGCAGACTTTACCGCGGAAACTTTATGACGAGAGAGTCAAAAAACAGACGTACATTCAACGGAACAGCGCCTCAAACGACTCTCACCACTGGGAATCCAGTCGCCTGAATCGAGTAAACAAATCACACCAACCTCACTCCAACAGCATGATCAATGTCTCTATAATCAACAACGTGACCCCTCCTACGTCATCTATAGGAATTAATAAACCAGTGACCAATGGGATAGGTATGTCTTCGTCCACAGGACCTGCAAAACCCGCCCGGACCTACCGCTCAAACCTCACACGCAGCAAGAGTTTTAACGTTCACGCTGGAGAACCAGGCAACACAGAATCATCCTCGTTATTTCTGGGGCCCAGGGGTCGAGATGTGACCAGCGTCTATAAGTCAAATCCACATCTGCATCGTTTAGATGAGTCTCCACCACCACTAAAGAGCCCTGGAATCTTGGCCAGCATAAATCGCAGTCAGCGAGATCTTTCTGAATCCATCGGTCAGGATAAAGACGATACCGATCTTGACGGAAGTCGGGAAAGCCACAGGTTTTCTAAAAGTACAAGTAACTTGATAAGTAATGGGCACGTAAGTAATAGCACCTCGACTCAAGATACAAAAAAGAAGCTATTCTTGAAGGGTTTGATGGACAGAGCACCAGAACTGTATAAAACTCTTCATGGGGATGAAGATCCTGATGTCAGACCATTGTCTCCAAGTCCCGGAGGGCGACCATATAACAACACACCTTTTAGAAACGGAATTTCAAACAAAGCATCTTCAAACAGAATCCTCGACTATAGCAGTTCATTCCGTTCTTCCAGTACAAATGCTACTCCTGAAAATGATTCCATTAGAGGAGTCCGAGCTTTGTCATCGCCATATCGACCTCCTATAATCAATGGCGTTGATCGTGTCGTATCTCCAAAACCTGGCTACACCAGCACCCTGACCCACACCCCGCCTTTCAAAGAAACTAACAGCGGTACGACGACGTCCATAGTGAGAAGAGGCAGTATCGGAAATGACGATTACTCGGAAACTGTTCGTATCACGTCAAAATCCGATGACCCCATAAGGCCCAGTGTTACAAACACTGTTCAGAGCTTCTCTAAGAAGACGATCCCGACAAAACGAGGGCTGTCAACAGAGACGATCGAGTCCAGCGAAACAAAAACCGTGACTAAGAGCCGGCTGCGGGGTGGAGATTTAAGTCACAATTCAAATCCGTATTCGATGCGCAACGGTGGAGGAGGTGTGGTTATAGAAGTGAAGGCGCCCAGAAAATGAACCCGGCAGGCTGTTTCGCCCTAGGCCTATTTCTCGTGGACATTTATTTGAATATAAACACGTCTAAACCTCCCCGTCATAACCCATATTAATTCCAAATATGTTTTGCGGTGAATTGCCTAAGTATTAGTAACAAAAGAATGTTAGAAGTGTGTCTGCATTTATGTAATCGGGGATTCGGGCAGTTTTATGCAAGTAAGTGTGGGATTTATGGTGCCTGAAAATTTTCTCATGACCTTCGCGTGTTTTGGCTGAAATATGACAAATCTTCGTCTCGTGTTAGTGATTTTCAGGCAACAAATTATTATTCGTTAAATCTCAGCTGTTGAATTATCTTGCAGGTGTTCAGAAGCAAAAGGCTTGCTTGCTGTTGAACAGATATAGTAATTCGTTCTGCAAACTTCGGAAATGGTTCTAAATAACTGATTGCGTAGCAAGGACGTATGTAAGTATAATATGACTCAGTAATTGTCATGATGGATGTAAAATTCCCATCGCCTCACGCAGTAGCCAGAATCACTAATTTTAACAAAGTTATGTATATGCCAAACTCCATCCTTTCTAGACCTTTCTAGTGGGCTGTCATTAACTTCGCCAATTGAAGAAATATCTTCAACATTAGCATATTCACGTACTTTACCTAGAAATAGTAATTCATCTGTGCCTATTCCGTGAATTTAGATCAATAATTTAGTGAATTCCTGACAAAGGAAGACCACATTAGCCCTTAGCTTTAACGACAAGTTTGTGCCAAACATAAGTGAAACATGTCGAAATGTGAGAAAGATAATATAAAATATACGTAAGAAAATACGAGTATGTAGTATGTAGGGTATCGTGGCTTATAATTAAGAGGCAAAGCCTGGAAAAACTTCCCGTAAAGTATCACCAGTACTTAAGCTTTCAAAGCGCTGATAATGAGACTAAATTATGGAAGATGATTTTTGATTTCGTACTTCAGTTAATTACAAAATATTCACACCAGTGCTACTATTGTTGCGAGAGACAACTGTTTACCGTTTAGTGTCTTCTGGATTTGTCAAAACGTCCGACGTTTCTGAGGACCCTATTGATTCGTATCCAGTGAGCACCGGAGGTTCAGCCTCTGAGGTTAACGCTTCCGGAGCGTGAAGCTAGACATTCACCTTTGTCATGCGTAGAGTTTAAGATCATGTCCTGTTTTACCTCCACTACCATGTAGGATTTTATGGATGTGACGTGGAACAAAAGCTGTTACTTCTTCCCTGAAGATGGCAGTTTTCTATATTACTACGTCACAGAAGACTTCACATTGCACACAGTTTGCTGTGAAAGACTCAAATATTATAGAAGTGTTCCATTTTCTTTGCTGTGGCTGAATATGTGGCCCACAAAATGAAATGCAACAGCTGAATCAACTTCATTCATCTGAAATTCTGATAATAGAATAGATTATGATGATGCATGCTATTTTTTCTTACGTAGTGTTTTAAAAGTCCGTGATATCAGGGTTACAACAACACAGTTGTCCGAAAATTTCCCTGAGAATTTTCGTACTTCTCACACTTCCTTTTCAGAAGATATGACTGCTATAAAATTCCAAATGAAATAAGTAGAATATGTGCCTTGCTTTACAGGCTTCCATTTGTGGATTTTTAACAATTTACTATAAGAGAATAAAATAAGATTCTTAAACATTTATTATATTAAAAAAAACGCACCATGCAATACTTCGTGTCTGCACAAAATGAGAATTTTAGGACTCAAAATAAAATTTATTTTAACTGATACTATCATTAGCTGTGAGAATTTATTAGCTGATTAAATACTTCGTTTATACCCTCGAAGGGATGATCCTGACCTCCATAAATGCTGCTCAGTATAGAGACAAACCAACACAGATATTCTAGCAGTTTCCAAAAAGTTATTATTGTTTTTAAAAAATAGTTATAAGAAGTCTTTGTAAAACACTTCGCCATAATAAAATATAAGAACTTTGCAAGATCATGGTTGACAATGTGAAATTTAAGGTTATGACAGCAATGTACAGAATCCTCGACTATAGCAGTTCATTCCGTTCTTCCAGTACAAATGCTACTCCTGAAAATGATTCCATTAGAGGAGTCCGAGCTTTGTCATCGCCATATCGACCTCCTATAATCAATGGCGTTGATCGTGTCGTATCTCCAAAACCTGGCTACACCAGCACCCTGACCCACACCCCGCCTTTCAAAGAAACTAACAGCGGTACGACGACGTCCATAGTGAGAAGAGGCAGTATCGGAAATGACGATTACTCGGAAACTGTTCGTATCACGTCAAAATCCGATGACCCCATAAGGCCCAGTGTTACAAACACTGTTCAGAGCTTCTCTAAGAAGACGATCCCGACAAAACGAGGGCTGTCAACAGAGACGATCGAGTCCAGCGAAACAAAAACCGTGACTAAGAGCCGGCTGCGGGGTGGAGATTTAAGTCACAATTCAAATCCGTATTCGATGCGCAACGGTGGAGGAGGTGTGGTTATAGAAGTGAAGGCGCCCAGAAAATGAACCCGGCAGGCTGTTTCGCCCTAGGCCTATTTCTCGTGGACATTTATTTGAATATAAACACGTCTAAACCTCCCCGTCATAACCCATATTAATTCCAAATATGTTTTGCGGTGAATTGCCTAAGTATTAGTAACAAAAGAATGTTAGAAGTGTGTCTGCATTTATGTAATCGGGGATTCGGGCAGTTTTATGCAAGTAAGTGTGGGATTTATGGTGCCTGAAAATTTTCTCATGACCTTCGCGTGTTTTGGCTGAAATATGACAAATCTTCGTCTCGTGTTAGTGATTTTCAGGCAACAAATTATTATTCGTTAAATCTCAGCTGTTGAATTATCTTGCAGGTGTTCAGAAGCAAAAGGCTTGCTTGCTGTTGAACAGATATAGTAATTCGTTCTGCAAACTTCGGAAATGGTTCTAAATAACTGATTGCGTAGCAAGGACGTATGTAAGTATAATATGACTCAGTAATTGTCATGATGGATGTAAAATTCCCATCGCCTCACGCAGTAGCCAGAATCACTAATTTTAACAAAGTTATGTATATGCCAAACTCCATCCTTTCTAGACCTTTCTAGTGGGCTGTCATTAACTTCGCCAATTGAAGAAATATCTTCAACATTAGCATATTCACGTACTTTACCTAGAAATAGTAATTCATCTGTGCCTATTCCGTGAATTTAGATCAATAATTTAGTGAATTCCTGACAAAGGAAGACCACATTAGCCCTTAGCTTTAACGACAAGTTTGTGCCAAACATAAGTGAAACATGTCGAAATGTGAGAAAGATAATATAAAATATACGTAAGAAAATACGAGTATGTAGTATGTAGGGTATCGTGGCTTATAATTAAGAGGCAAAGCCTGGAAAAACTTCCCGTAAAGTATCACCAGTACTTAAGCTTTCAAAGCGCTGATAATGAGACTAAATTATGGAAGATGATTTTTGATTTCGTACTTCAGTTAATTACAAAATATTCACACCAGTGCTACTATTGTTGCGAGAGACAACTGTTTACCGTTTAGTGTCTTCTGGATTTGTCAAAACGTCCGACGTTTCTGAGGACCCTATTGATTCGTATCCAGTGAGCACCGGAGGTTCAGCCTCTGAGGTTAACGCTTCCGGAGCGTGAAGCTAGACATTCACCTTTGTCATGCGTAGAGTTTAAGATCATGTCCTGTTTTACCTCCACTACCATGTAGGATTTTATGGATGTGACGTGGAACAAAAGCTGTTACTTCTTCCCTGAAGATGGCAGTTTTCTATATTACTACGTCACAGAAGACTTCACATTGCACACAGTTTGCTGTGAAAGACTCAAATATTATAGAAGTGTTCCATTTTCTTTGCTGTGGCTGAATATGTGGCCCACAAAATGAAATGCAACAGCTGAATCAACTTCATTCATCTGAAATTCTGATAATAGAATAGATTATGATGATGCATGCTATTTTTTCTTACGTAGTGTTTTAAAAGTCCGTGATATCAGGGTTACAACAACACAGTTGTCCGAAAATTTCCCTGAGAATTTTCGTACTTCTCACACTTCCTTTTCAGAAGATATGACTGCTATAAAATTCCAAATGAAATAAGTAGAATATGTGCCTTGCTTTACAGGCTTCCATTTGTGGATTTTTAACAATTTACTATAAGAGAATAAAATAAGATTCTTAAACATTTATTATATTAAAAAAAACGCACCATGCAATACTTCGTGTCTGCACAAAATGAGAATTTTAGGACTCAAAATAAAATTTATTTTAACTGATACTATCATTAGCTGTGAGAATTTATTAGCTGATTAAATACTTCGTTTATACCCTCGAAGGGATGATCCTGACCTCCATAAATGCTGCTCAGTATAGAGACAAACCAACACAGATATTCTAGCAGTTTCCAAAAAGTTATTATTGTTTTTAAAAAATAGTTATAAGAAGTCTTTGTAAAACACTTCGCCATAATAAAATATAAGAACTTTGCAAGATCATGGTTGACAATGTGAAATTTAAGGTTATGACAGCAATGTGTATGAAGATGGCTGTTTTCTGGAATGTTGCACCCTATAGTCTGACCCTGATGATGGTGATGGTAATCTCCTCTGAAACATCAGTAAATATCTACCAAACTACACAGTGCAACATCCCAGAAGACAGCCATCTTAAATTAATATTATTTTAATCAGAAAAATTTAAATTTTATATAAAAGTGGTAACCAGTATGAGAAGAATGTTGTCGCAGATGTAGCTTGAACTGATCAAGACTCAGATTTCAATGCATGTTCTTTTTCATATGCCACTTCTGTTTTTATTTAAAAAATAACCTACAAATGAGGTTAAAAACTTCATTTTTTTAACCCTACCATACTGCATGACAACTGTACAATACTTGTTAGTCATACTTTTCATCAGAATTCTGTAATGTATTACTGCCTTCCCTTTAATTAATTTAAGCTATGTTTTAGTTACATATAAGTGCTACTAATGATTTAAATAAAGTTTACGTATACTGCTCCGTTAAGGCATGCGCTAATGTAGTATGTTACTTAGATTTACATTTGAACCAAATGCAAATCTTAATAATAATTAATAGTAAAAGTGAATTTTCATTTCTTAATACACTTATTTTGGTATGTTTTGTAATCAAGTACATGGTACTTTCATGAATAAAGAATTTAACAAAAACATTCATAGTTCAGTTTCATCCTGGTCCTCATAAAATCTTGGCCTGTTTCTCTTATTTTATAAGGAAAATGGTTCTGTTGGTATTGTCATGTCTGTGTGTGTGTGTGTGTGTGGGGGGGGGGGTCTTACAGTTTGAATCGCAGGGTGGTTTTTATGGAACTTGCAGTAAATGGCATGGTACTGATGGCACATCTGTGCTAATTTTATGATGGAAAAACAAATTATGTTCTGAAGATGATGACTCTGGTGACGGGTCGTGCAAATGAGGCTGCGGTGGGGTCTGGCAAATTCTACATTTGACATCAGTCAAGAGCCTGAAGTCAGGCATTAATTTTTGTGTTGGGCCATTTGACAAGTATATGGCTTCAGTCACAGTGACGATGTCACTTTTAATTTGCTTTATAAAGAAATTTTATAATCTGTTTACATTAAAAGTGATATGTTGTTCAACATAAATAAGGTTAATTCCTATAAAAGTTTATTGGAAATCTTATAATATTTAAGGCTGATTAATTGAAGAATGAGATGAATGAGATATGTACCATATACTGGGAAAGAAGGAATGCATACAAAAATTTTGGTCAAAAACCTACAGGAAGAGATTACTTGGAGATGTGGGTATATGCATGGGGGGATATTAGTGAAGGCTTCTTAAAAACATTAGGGACTGTAAAATAAAAGGATATGAAAATTTGCAATGGTAATTTTTGTGTACATACAAAGCAATCTTTCTTATCCCTCTTCATGTTTTGAACTTTGTTGCACATAATGAACCAAGATGGACAGGCAAATAAAATTGTATATGGTAATGGATATTAACCATGCCATAGTTCAGGTAGTTACTGGCTTCTCACTCCAGAGGCCTGGATTCATGCCTGTGTCAGTTCATGTGTGGATTTGTGGTGGATAAAGTGGCATTGGGACAGGTTTTTCTGCAAGTAATTCGATTTTTTCCATCAAAATAATTCCACTACTGCTCCATATTCGCACATTTATTATCTGGGGACGGACAGTGGACCTATTAGTGGTCAATTTCAACAGATACATAGTCTCAACCCAATGCAAGGAATAAAAGGTCATGTATCATAAATATTCCTACTAATCCTATGTGAAATTTACCTAGCCGACCTGTTCTATGTGAACCATGGCAAATGTAGCATGGATCATATGTAGCGATTATTCCCTTCCGGTACGTTTACAATTTGACAACGGTTTATGAAGATGGCCGACAATCAACAAAGTAGATTCGAAAAGTCCTTGGGGTTGTTAACAACGCGTTTTGTTTCTCTCTTGCAAAAAGCCCGAGATGGTGTACTGGATTTGAAAGTAGTATGTAAATATTTTCGTGTGTGTGAAAGTAATACTTTGTACTAGTAGTATGGAGCTGTCAGGAATACCGTATGCCTTTGAATGTTCACATGGGCTAACGGTCATTGTATAATATTTCTGGTCCGGTTTCCCATATCGTATTAAGTTTAATTGTTCTAGAGGCGAATGTATTTAATTTTTGTTTAAGGCTGCCGATATACTAGCTGTGAGGCAGAAGAGAAGAATATATGACATAACCAATGTTTTGGAAGGCATTGGTCTCATTGAGAAGAAAAGCAAAAACAGTATACAATGGAAGTAAGTACATATTACACAAGGAACAGAACCGTTTATAAAGATATCTTAACAAAGTAGATTCTTGATGGCAGTCTGATTTAGATATTTCCTGCCTTTTAGAATGTGAAGGTTGACAAGAGGTTATCTGCAACCAGGTGAATTGACATCCTCATACTACAGTTTGATTATTTTTATGTCCTCTCATTTACGCTTTTGTCTTAAGGTTCTAATTTTAATATTTAGTTGTTTGGTAGACGTAAGTTGAAAGATTTAGAACTGAATGGTAGCAAGAATTCCTCAAATTTAATCTGCATCTCATTTTTCATGCATATTTTGAACTTTTACGCACCATGTGTACAGTGGGTGAAAAATAACTCTGAAGTGTGTTGACTGATACACATACTTGTGTGATAGGGAGAGAAAGGCTGCAAAGTGACAGCACATGCAGAAATAGCTCAATCGTTCCTTATACTGTCATGTGAAATTATAACATTAAGACTGTAGAAGTAGCTCCTGCGGGTTAAGGCATGTGATTGTATTACTAGTGTTTTAGAGTTCCTTTGAACCACAAAATTCAGTGTAATGTAAAAGTCAGTACATTAAGATGTAACCAATTTTGTTGAAATTAAAAAGGAAAACTGTGTTTCTAATCATACCATCTTGCTCATTCAGACTCTTTGATGTTTGGCTGCCTTTTGTACTTTCCATCTTCTCTTCTCTTCTCTTCTTACTGTGATGTTTCACAGCTAGTTATTTTTTATCTACTGTAACAGTGTTTTTCCTGATAAGCCAATAGTTGCAAAGTTATTTAAAAAATCCCCACTTTATATGGGAGCTGGATGTTCGTTACTTTGTCAACAGGAGCTCTGCCGCTAGCTCTTATCCAGAACATGATAAATTCAGTGTGCACCCTCCCACTGTATTTCTTTAAACCTGTCTTGTCCCATTCTGAAATCATAGAGCCCTATTTTAATCCAGTTATGTTATAATTTGGAATATATATATTTAAATTTTTACAAAGACATGATTAACTTTTATACTGCATACTGTGTTTTATTGAAAACTTCAGTATTTATTTACAGCAGTTTAATATATGTATGGTCGCAAGATGTTTATGCACTTCTAAAATATAACAAGAAAGAATTTGTTGATGTGCATTGCTTGTAGTGTGCCACTGCCCAGTTCCACCCTCCCAGCATTCATTCTCGCTGTCAATATTACTGTCTGTGTCACTCCTGCTTGTATAGACTTCCAGCCAAGCTTAGGGCAACAGATTGAGAAGTTGGTTAATAGCAGATGGGAAAACAAAATGATTCTGAACTCAATTTTACAACAAAGTTTTACAAAATCTGAAAACTGCCTTGTGTCAGTTATTATTAATAGGAAACTGCACTGGTAATGTTTTGCTTGTGATCCTAAATTTATACAAGTTAAAAGCTAAAGTATTTGGCTCTTATTTTGCTAGACTTTTAAAATGGAACAAGAAATGCGTTACAGAGAGGGAGAGACAACACCCTTTTTATTTATGTGCCTCTACCAGGAGTTTTGAAGTTTATTACCCCCCCCCCCCCATTTCAATCTATAATTTAATAGTATTTTATCTGTATGATTTTGAAGGGGTGCTGGACCAGGATGCAACACTCTTTTTTTCCCCCCCCCCCCCCATTTCAATCTATAATTTAATAGTATTTTATCTGTATGATTTTGAAGGGGTGCTGGACCAGGATGCAACACTCAGGAGATGGCAGATCGTTTAGCAGTACTGAGGAAGGAGATATCGAGGCTGGATGAACATGAGCAGAAGCTAGATATGCACAAACAGGTCTGATTTATAAATAAAATTAATGTGGTTTCTTTTACTGTCTTAGCTGGGATGGTTATGATGATGAGGTGAAGTAACATCTGTCCCTAACGCCTGATGTAGAACTGGTTGGTACTGCAGTAAATATATAATATGTAGGAGATACATAAATTATGCTTTTATTTTGAAATGTTTATTACTTTTATTATGAACCAAATTATATTTTAGTATTCAAAATTTCAGTTTGTTATAACAAAGAACATTTCCCTATGAAGTAGTTGGTTTGGTAAATTACTTTTTTTGGGCCAGATTTTCGTTTGCTAATTGTGTCAAGAGAAATCTGGATACACTGTATGATCTTGTTTACTAATTCTTGATCTTACTCAATTGGAGAACGAGGGGTGTTAAGTGTTTAATTTCTGACAGAATAAAGCAACAACAAATTTTACATGCTTGAACTAGTTATCTTTTGGGCATTTTTAATATAAAGAGAAGATGGCAACAAGGAAGCTGTTGGCACATTTAAGTTATTTAAGTTGATTAAATGGGGAAAATGAAGAAAACTTTATTAGTTCTGAGCTCTAGCCTCTATTAAGCTCCCCTATCCTATTTTTTACATGTAAATTAGATTTTTTGAAGGTACTGGATTTTAATCACTTCAGGCAAAAGGCCACAACCACTTATCTACTTTCCATTTATGATCTCACCTCATGCAAAGGTATGTAACCTATATAGTAGAAATAGTGTAGTTAATAAACCTGGGGTTCAGTGCCAGGTACTTTGCCATTATAGTACATACAAGTATTTGGTCAAGTTCCTTGCAGTCTATGTCTTGGCAGTAGGTGAATGCTGTTTCAGCTGAGAATCAGATCCTGGTTATCCACCTCAAAGAGTCACTACACTAACCGATTTGCTAGTTAAATGTCAACTACTCGAGGAAAACTCGATGGAGTTAATTTTGATGGCGTACATTTTTTACAGTGGATGCAGCAGAGTATTTGTAACATTACGGATGATGTTGAAAACTGTCACCTGGCATATATAACACACGAAGACATCTGTAGGTGTTTCAAGGAAGACACAATGCTTGCAATCCAAGCTCCCAGTGGAACAGAATTGGAGGTTCCCTTGGTTGATCATGTGAGTTTGTAATTCAGTCTGGACCAGTTGTGATGGGTTTTATGTTGTGTTAATGCAGATGGCACAAATTAACAATAATACATAATGTAAGAAGGGAAACGTTCCTTCCAATTCATTATGATTGTCAGATTTAATATCACATTTTCCTGACAGAAAGAAGATTGTAAATATATTCTACACATTTATATGACATGTTTTTCAGTAGGAAAGGCTGTAGGGGGAAAAAAGAACATTCAGAAGACCTAGGCAGAGATAGGATGATAATATTAATTAATGGATCTTACAGAAATGGGTTGGAAAGATATGGATTAGATTCATCTGACTCAGGAATGGGGCCTGTGGTGGGCTGTTGTCAACATGGTAATGAACCTGGTTTTATCAGGTAGGAAATTTCATGACTAACTGAAGTAAAGATCAGCTTATCAGGACTCTACTCCATAGTTAGGAAATTAGGATGGATTTATAGTTTTTCATATAGTTTGGTTGGTTTTAATGAAGTTGCCAGATCAATCACAGTTAGTTTTTTAAACATGCATTTTATCAAGAATCATGATAAAGCACGTACAGTCATATTTGTAAGTCTCTTGCTTAATTTTATAAGTGCAGGCCATGGGCAAACAATTAATAAGTCATTTAAGCACCAGTTCTCAAGGCAAGTTTGGTACATAACTTGTTTTCACATATGAATATTAATGACCCGTTTCTGATCTGTCAACACTACCAAATTTATAATTTTGGCCTCTTGTGAAATGTATGTCTGCTGTGAAATATGATTTATGAAACCATACAAGCTGAATCATATCTGTCTCTGCAATGAAGTTTAATTTATAAACCTACAAGCCGAGTCGTTACAACTGGTCGTATTGGCCTTGCTGAAAACAAAGTGGTAGTGGTGTTAGTAATTATTTTACTCTTATTTTGTTACTTGATTTTTTTCCCCTCTTAATTTCTTATATACAGCTATAAAGTTAGAAGAACATTTGAAAACTTGGTTGTTATTGTAGTATGGGTGCTTGGGAAGGGTCCACAGGTAGTAGATACTTTTGGAACAGAAATAACATATTGCATACCTTATTACTTTGAATTACAAGCTTCTGGCAGCCACGAACTTGGGCCATATGTGAAAAAGACATTAAAACAGGCCAAGATTGCTGTATCTCACATCCCTGCTGATGGCTCATTCACACCCTATCATATGACATTTGATGCTACATAACCTCAGCATCTAATTCAGTTTTATAAAATAAATAAGCCAGTATTCTGTGAAAACTTCCATGTTGCTTGGAATTTCTTTTCAGAATAGCAGCAACAAGAAGAATTATCAGATCCATCTCAAGTCATCAGTTGGTCCAATATATGTTCTGTTAGTTAACAAGGACATTGATTGCACCAGCCCTGTGGCAATAGAAGTTCCACCCCCAAAGTCTGTTTTAGAGTCCAGTGTCAAGGTATTTAATGTCTTTGGTATTATTGCATGTAAATGGCTCTTCTAGTGTTTCTTCTTGAAATGAGATGTGCATTATGTGGGGAAAATGATTGTCAGTAGTACTGATTTATATCCTGAATGAATAACTCTAATTCCTGGCAAGGCAGAACTTTCTTTTTCTCGCCTTCCTGTCCGTACTGGCTTTGTGGCCCGCAGTGCTCCTTGTTAGAGGGCACTGGGAGCTCCTTGGGGTAAAACAACTAGTGTACAATGCTGACCACTGACTTATATTTGGTGCCAAGATTATGAATATGTGGAGCTTTACCTTCACTCTCCATATGCATTCATGGCATGACACTTAAGCTCCAAGAAATGTTGACCTTTTACTTGTATTAGTAGTACAGGATAGGTTAATACATGTGAATTATGAAGGAATGCTTTGGTTTGCTCCAGGATGAAACCGAAGAATTGGACGTAGAATCAGAAGACACTGAAAAGGTTTCAGCTGTTGCAGCTCCCAGTCCTCCTGCAACTCGTTCCACCAGGTCACGGAACAACTCGCCACAGAAACCTGGCTCATTGTCACCTCGAATACCGACACGGCAGACGGCTCAAGTAAGTAAGCCTTTCGTTGCTCAAAAATGAAGATTTATGCATGTTATAATGGAAAATATACTCATTAACTGTTGAATTTCACTCATGTTTCAACATTTTTATGACAAAATAACATTTTTAGATTGAAACCACACGCCCAATGAGTCCTTCAAGTTCCAGCTTGAAGCGACGACGTGGTCCAGGAAGACCACCAAAACAGCCACGAATTGATCCCGAAGCGGAAATAGAATGCAACCCTGCGTTATTGGAACCTGACATCATCCTCAGTGATATTGTGTCTGCAGGAAGCACAGGTTAATTATTAAACACCTATCTTTGTTGTGGTTTAGAACTTTTGACATGTCGCAACTTCAGAATATATATTTGGTCTGTCCAGCTGTTCAGAGGTCTTCGAAATTGCATTTTTCTTAATGCATGTATTTTATGTTTCAGATGTTCCCATGTCAGAGGTAGATGGAGAACTGATGGAAGAACTTATTTCAGCAGAAAGTAGGTAACTTAAAGTTGATCTGTGCTGTGACATTAAACCTCTCTCTCTCTTCTTTGAGCCATAAGGGTGTTATTTTACAGTGATAAAAATTCTGTAAATTTTGTATATTTTGTCATGAGGGATCAAGAAATGTGCCGATGTCACAAGCAAAAGTCTTTATGTGATAAGTAGAAAACTATTTGTTGGTCTTTGTGCCCTGTATGCATTTTGTCTAGTTACAGGTGCAGAAACCAAAGTATTTTTAGACATTTTGTATACATACACATTTGGATAGCAGCTATAGGGTTCTCAAAAGTTACCCTCTTTCATGGAGTTTGTTCTGTATTTTGTTACTTTATTGAATCTCTTTTAAGAGTCATCTATCCAGACTGAGGTTTTTCATTCCTTTTCTCGGTTCTTCTAGGTAAATGCTGGTATAGCTTATGCTAATTGGCTTTGACTCTTCCAAATCCCTACCTACCATCTTACAATCACTCTTACTTGCCTTTTGATACTTCATAATCTATATTTGATAACAGCAGTATTAAACAGTGGAAGAATCAGTCAGTCTGTGTCCAAAGTTGGTAAACGAGCTAAATTCATCCCTGACAAGATTATTGTGGTGCTCTGTAGCCTTTAGTTCCAGTTTCACTCTTGGGGGCCCTGCTACCTCCAGGTTCACTTCATCTGGCTGTGTAGCCAACAGTCTTACTCTACCTGCACAGGTTATTCTACCCTCTTACCAGCTGTTCCAGGTTCTACAGCCTTACACCATTTAATCATCCTACCTATAGGCAGAATCTGTCTGGCTCATCCTACGCCACAACCCTTTCCATTGATGCTGTTGAGGATGAGATGACTAACTTGTACTTGTAATCTGGAATCTGAACCTTCACTAGCCTCTTGTGATACCAAATGGATGGACCCCCCTTTTTTCCAGTGCTACATGTGCCGTATTTGTCAGGTGTTGGTGAGTACCGTGAAACAGTAGTATCCTTTGAGTGTATTTCTGTATAATTATTCTTTGGATATCAAAGTGGAAAGATATGCAAATTGGATATTGAAAGAAGTGGTAGTCACCAGAGAAGCACTCCACCTGACCTCTCACCTCGGTCAACGCTGAGATCTGGGATGTGTGGAGCTTTACCTCCGTACCTGCATGGTGTAGTGTTTAGACAGAGAGCAACTCTACTTCCACTTGTGTCTCCCAATTTAAGGAAATTTATTTCAGTTTGTGTAACATAAAAACATGAATTAGTCATGATTGTCACCAAAATATAAGATAAGTAATTGCAATATGTTATCTCAGGCTTTTCACTGCCAGGGACATTTGTACTGAGCAGTTTCTTAGTTGCCAGTGAAGAGGTAAAATAATATGGCTAGAATTGCCTGATGAAGGCTAATGAGTTGTTGGGTAATTGGCCTTGCCGTATGCTTCAGCTTTTAGCTAAGGTGTAAGGGGGTTGTGTGTTATTTTCACAGAGTGTTATAAAATAAACACACAAGATTGTCTAACCATCTGCATATTTCATCTTTGAAACCTGAACTGGTTACATAATTTTATATTTGGGGTCTATACTAAAAGTTGCCATGCAAATGCAAATTTTGTTTATATTGGTCCAGTATAAAGTCCTGCTTAACATGAAGCCATGTTGAACTTTAGGTTTTGTAAATAATGGCTTATCATACAACAAATTGGTACCTAATATAAAATTTAAAATTTTTAGTTGAAATATTTTTCAGTATGATGAATATTTAATGCAGTAGAAAGAAAAGATGGTGTCTGACTGCATCAGTAATGTAGTCAGACACCATCTTTTCTTTCTACTACATTAAATATTTATCATACTGAAAAATATTATAATATGTAATAAAATAGTCTCGTAGAAGTAGACTTATATTTCAGAGGTGCTTATTGCCCTTATCATCAGGGTGATGAGCCACTAAGCACTTCTGAAATGCCAATCTATATCTATAAAACTGGAGCAATATCCCAAAAGGCTGTCATCTTCATGCTCTGTGCCATTAGAGCCTGAAGTCCTCACATATTTCATCTTCTGTTTCAGTCTATGGTCCTCTGGTCAGATTGAGCCCTCCTCCAAGCGAGAAAGATTACTTCTTCAATTTGGGAGATGGTGAAGGCATTTGTGATCTCTTTGATGTGCCCATGATCTCCATGTAAAGCCACTAGAAGTGAATGACAGTTTTGTAAGTTGATTCCAAAGATGAAAGACACGTGTAATGCAGGAACAGTTTTGTTCTTATTTCTACGTTGGACATTGTTTATCGTCCTGTTGAACTCCATTTCAGTTAATGTTACAGATTTTTGTATGCTATTATTCTGAACAGGATGTGGAGAAAGTGCATTCTTTCAAGTACCTGAACAGTGAAAACTCATGCACTTTTCCATGAACACTGGTAACGAAACTTTTTTAATCGGTATTCTGAGTAAAAAGTTGAAGAATTCCATTAGGATGTAGTTGCTGCATATACAGTAAATGTGATGTACTATGATTGTGTGAATGGATACTGTTTGTGTTCTAGGTAAGACTAGTTAAGAGAGTCGTTAATTCAAATAAATTGTGTGAAAGGTCTTGGTCTCTTATGTTTCCTTAATTTTATAAAATGTGGCTTATATGTCCCATTGTGTGTGTGTGTGTTTTTTTTTGTGCTGATTGTTGGAAGTCCCCCCCCCCCTCATATTTTCACAGTCCCTGTTTAAAACAAATATCAGGCTCCAGGAGCCATGTTTAAATACATTGCTTAGTCACATCTCTCATTACACTCAGCTCTGAAGATGGAGGCAGAGACAGTCTCTGAAACACTGGAAACTAACTCCGTTCTCTCGGGGTGATCGCCATTAGAAGACATCAATGTTTGCACAAAGTTAAAACAGCAGTCGCTCACCAACCACGGATTTCAAGTTTTCTATTTGCAACCCTGGCATTTGGTTGCTTTGTTTTCAGTTTAAAATGTGTACATACAGGAAGAAAAAGTGTGGCAGAGGAAGAGGGCAAGCACAATCATTGTTATCACTGGTGGTCATCATCATGGACTCAGTAATCTAATATCTTAAAGGTAAGTAAAGAAACCTGGCGATCTCATTGTTATAATTAGTATGTAACCTGAACATGTATTAGTTTTAAGCACTTTATATTTTGTTAGTTTTGTTGAAGAAACAGGCAGCTTTCTATACCACACAGAGTTTCATCTACGTTTGCCTATAGTTTGGTTGTTCCTTGTGGACAGACATGACAAAACTAATAATTGGTGCTTACTGAAATTTGTTTTTGAAATGCCATTAAAAAGGATAACTTTGGATATTAGCAATATCTTCTTCTTCTTCTTCTTCTATGGCTCTCCGGTCCGTATTCGGTCCATGGCCTCAATTCTCCTCTGCCCAAGGCTTTGATCGAGGTTTCAAAACATCTTCCTTTTTACGGTGCAAGGTTGTCAGCCTTGCGACCAACCCCCAACCTGGAGGACCAGGGTACCTGTCTTAGTCTGCCCTCTCCCCCTCGACCAATCTGGCTAGGGAGGCCCTACCAGTAGCTCTTGGGGTCACTGAGGTACTCAAGCCCCACCACCACGACAAGGTGCAGGTACAGTGTATTCTTTATGTACATAAAAAGTTTGTATGTTACAAACTCCAAATATGTATTATTACATATTAAATTAAAATCCGTGGAGTAACAGCTCCAGAGAGCCAAAGCCGACTAGCTTGACTGACTGCCGGCCTCACGTTCACATGCCTAAGCAGAGGTGAACGATCATCCAACCAGATATAGGGTGACGTGTGGTCAGCACGACAAACCCCCAGCAATTGCTAGCTTTCCTGACCGGATTACGCTACCCATTGTAGCTCCCCAATTTCCTCACGATGCTGGGTTGGCACCGGTCCCATACACTGGTCGAAAGCTCATGAGAAAATTTCTCCTCCCCCGAGACTCGAACCAGCGCGCATTCCATATCGCCGGTCCGAAGCATGATGCCTCAGACCGCGCGGCTATGGCGCAGAACTATTATTACATATGCATGATTAATATCATTCAGATATAAAATTCAGCTCTATTTTTACATTTTTTTATGTCATTTGTCTACCAAGCACTGTGGTTACCATGATCTTAATATTTCATTCACCTGATATGAGTTTAGGTGCTTAAAAATGTGTGGGGAGGACCACTGTGCTTACCAGAGAAAAAGTATGTAAGAACAACTTCAGTTATTGATACAAGTTTATTAAACCTTCAATTCTGTACCTTGTAGCACAAAAGTGACCCTATTTAGTCAGTGATTACACAGAACTTTACACAATTTCAGTCAGAAGGAGAACTCGTGGGAGACAGACGCGCTGGGACTAGGGCTTGAACTACCAGAGCTTAGTGTCTCTTCCTTAATTTTCAATTTACTTAAATCTCTTTTATCTTTATCCTTGTCCTTATCTTTTTCTTTCCCGTGCTTGTGGTCACGCCTATGTTTGTGCTTGTGTTTGTGTTTCTTCTTATCCTTTTTCTTCTTTTTAAGCTGAAAGAAGAAAAATGTATCAGTATGAAATAAAGACATGGTAAAAAGTAGGCTTATAGTTGACAAAGTTCATATGCACTTGCACTCAAATAATTTTGCTTATAAAATTAATTTAAAACATTACTATTGCCTTGAAATAATATTTATCAACTTTATCTGTGGGGAAGCAATTCCCTTAGAAAGTAAAAGAAAGAAACCCAATTTAAATTGGTGTGTAGTTGCAAGCTTTCCTGAGTTTCTCATGGTCTTATTCAGTTTCTTGAGGTGAATACGAGGACAGTATTTCCAAAGAGGGTATGACTTACTTCCAAATCCTCGCCTACTCACTGTTCGTGTTCATCCTCTGTCATTTGATAATAACTAATATAAATGAAAAATTCAGAATATGCAGACCTCAGTATAAAATTTCATTTCTTTTCCTTGAGAATTTTTCTGTTGTTTTAACTTGGCCCATTATTTGCTAAAAGTTTATGATATTGTATTTTTGTGAATTTGCCTTCAATTAATGCTGGTACACAAAACATCCAAGTACATAATTTTGTGCTGTGAAAGCACCACTTTGTCGCCCTCGGTGGACTAGTGGTTACCGTGCTAGCCACTGGACCCAAGGTTGATGGATTTTTCAGGATGATAAAAATCTTTAGCACAACATCCTTTGGAGTGTAAGTAAAGCTGGTGGTCCCATGTTGTAGGTTTATGGCATGTAAAGAACCGTACGAGCATGAACGAGATGTTTTGTAAGCAAAATTCAGTGGCTGTTTCTCACCCAAGTGTCTCCTGATTCACTACTCGATGGCTCTAGCAGCCAAATGAGGATTGAGTAGAAATTGTGCAGAGGCACTGGGCTTGTCACTTACTACTCATACATGCACACTTCAAAAGAAAAAGAAACCTCCCACTTGGGAGGAGGCCAAGGCTCAGCTTCGGGTTGTTGCGCCATAGAGTCAGTCAGAAAGCATCACTTTAGAATCACTGCTATCTGGATTAAGTCTTCTTTGGAAACATGCCCATGTGCAAATACATAAATATTTCTTAGTATATTTATTTCAGCATAATTATGATTAATGTTACATATTTAAAATTATTCATTGTCAGGACTTTTTCTGTTGTCTGTTCTTCAAAACCACGACATTTTGGAGGCTGGTCCAGTGACAGACACTAGCTCTATCTAAGGGACCTAACAGAGTAGGTACCTCTCACCTGAAGATGGAGACAGAACCAGCCTCCGAAACGTCATGATTTTAAAAGAACAGATGATGGAAAACGTCCTGATAACGAACAATTATAAATATTAAACATCACAAGAAACTCCATATTTCATTTAACTGCAAAATATCTTTCAGTTGAGAGAGTCTAAAAATTTGTATTCGCATTAATGTAATATATTTCTTCCTAGTGTCACTGACTGTGATTACCTTAGACATGGAATCTGTTCTGTGATGTTTTGAATGCCCACTTTCACCATCACTTTCTTTGGCACGAAACATTCCTGGTTCAAACCCGACTGGGCCAGGCATGCCTAGTATACCAGGCAGTGATTGTGAATTGTCTGAGAAGTACTCCGACTTAACCTGTCCTTCTGGATGGGGAGGACCCAGATTCATTCCTGGGGGCAGTATTGGTGGAACAGGGTTGCCTGCCAAGGTGACAGGCACCACAGTTGGTAACACTGGGTTTGCAGTTATGGGTGTTGCTGCAGCTGTCACCGACAAGTTTCCTGGCTCCTCCTAGACAATATAAGTATCACATTTGAACAAATTCAGTTTTAAAAATTGATTACAGTATGTTAATTTTTTTGTTTATATTCACAATTTATAGTTTTAGTTACATAATTACAGGCTGTCATTGTGTGATACTGTAATATAATGGCTAAAGCTGTGTGTGGAGAAAATGTTCCCAGATACTGAAAGCAATGAAAAAATGATCCTGAACAAAACGTGATTTCGGTTGTTTGTGAAACAAGTACCTTTAAGGTCTCTGCTTTTAAAATTGAAAAAGAAGCAAATCAGGGTTCATTGCTTACTCCACGCAAGAAGAAAGGTGTTAAACTGGAAATTCAGTTATTCTGATGGTGGATGAGGCAAAAAGTTCATGAATTTTACTTTGAAAGTGAACTCTGTATAGACAGTCATGAACAGTAATCTTGTTCTACCTTGTTTTAAAAGATTGATATTAACTTTCATGAGCTCAGGTGAAGCAGCATATATAAATAACAAGGACTTCAAATAAAATATATAGAATGGTTTATTGAAGGAGGCTCTGCTAGTGTGACTAGATAAATGGATCATTTGTGTGCAACACTTAAAGAAAATTGAAGAAGAAACCTGGAAAGCAGATGAGATCCTGGAGAACATTCAACCCATCATCATCTGATCACATGATGGTTTCTGAGGCTTTGAAACTTCAAGCAATGAAGAAATATATAAGGATGGCACAGAACCACTTCCACGGACAAACTGAATGAACATTCAAGTGATGTTGATGGAAAAGGTATGTAGGTTGAATTTTGGTAATGTTTACTAACATCAGTAGTCCCACTCTCCATTACCATATATGTTTGAACACTGAATTTGCTTTTTACATTGGACACATACTTTACCATGACCTTTGCTGAAATTCATTCAAATTGTGTCAGCTGAGTGCTAGCACAAGCATAATGCCATATTCTTCAAATTCTTACCTTTAATGATTCCAGTACACGGACTTTTGAGGCAGGAGCAAGATTGCCACCATTCAATGAAGGCTCCTGAAAATTTGTATACCATATTTTTAAATAATGTATCATTCTCATTTGGTCTTGTAGGCCTGTGAGGTCATTCAGAAAATCTTTTCAACTTTTTAGCTAGAATTTTACAACTTCTAGCAGATTAACTTTTTTTCCTAATATCAGTTACTGGTAAACTTGTAATTTGGTCATTATTTCATTTCTTTGATAGTAAAAACTGAATACATCTCAGCTGATATTAATCTTGCATCATCAGTCCTAGAGATCTTTTGTTTGAAAATGGGAATCCTATATAATGTAGAACCCAGTACAAGTATGCAAAGGCCATGTTCTGTGTTATGATTAAATCATTTCCTGTCAGTTCGCTTGCTGCTGCTGCAGCAGCAGCAGCAGCAAGTTGCCATGGTTCTAAGTTAAATGGGACACTCTGTATGACAGTGCAGCAACTCTCAGTTTTTACATCATCTCCATAGGACAGACTTCGTACTATATCAGGCCTGTCCAATCTGTGTCTCACATCCTTATTGCAGCTGGCTGTGTACATCAATGTTGCATGTGAAATTTACATGGAGATTGAAAGTAAGAAATTTTTCCATTATATTGTTAATACAAAGATTTTACTTCTGATTGGCTATTTCTCTTTAATATCATAATTGGGTTTCTGCAATATGCAGTCTTTTGTGTCTGAAATACAAAATAATGTGATGACCATGCAAATGGGACTATATTTGATAATTGTAGATGATCATGTGGAATTCGGAATGGTGTGTGAAGTCAAAATTATGTATGAAAATATTTGTGTTAATCCTATAATATATTAAATAACCTTTTATGATAGGTATGTTAATGGAAATTTATAAGCTGTGAGATAGTGCTTCATACCTTGACATTAATTTTACTGCCCTCATCTCCTGCAACAATTTCAACTGTGACCAAGCCGAGGTGGTTGTCGTCAGTCAGAACTTCTGTCTCTCGCAGAGGAGATCCCACCTTGCGCTTCGCACCACTTGTGACATGTGCAGGCTCTGTATCGCTTGAAGCACTCACAAAAGGTATCAGAGGAAGAACAGGTTTCACCTACAAAAATTGATTGCAGTTTTGGCCAGCTTTATATTCCTTTTATTCACGAATCTCCTTTGGTCTTACCATCCAAAGTTTCCTGTTGTAGGCTGAAATGAGTAACTATCTTGATGATACAGAATGCTCCATGAATAATTAACAGGTATTAATATTAGTTCATACATTTTTAGTTTTTTGCTTCTGTCAACAAGAGAGGATCAACACAAACATGCCCAAGGATGATTACTGGAGATCAGATTTTGTTAAGTATTCATTAGCACCATATAAAACGTACTCCAAATGAAAACTATAGAGCTGGGTGAGATTATGTATTTTAGATTACATACCAATTTCAGTTGGAAATGTAGATAGCTGTATTACCTCTTTGTCTTGCATTGGACTTGCATGTCGTTCGTGTTTAATGTTGAGGATGGCTGCTAATTCAGGAATTGGAAGGCATAATGGTCTGCGTGTACCATAGAGAACGTAGTATAGATCGACAAAATTACATCGCAGGCGGGAATCGTGTGACAGCATACAGCTGGAAAGAGCGCATTGAAATTAATTTTAAACTAGTGGTATGGCTGCTGAAATTTCAGGGTGTCAAAACATGCATCACAACATTCCATCTTAAGAAGCAATGAGGATAGGTAATAGGATATGAAGTGACTGATTTCTTGTGGTCATGCTTGGTTTTTATTAAAAGGCATTTTAGCTGCCAAGGTCTTGATAACTGGGTATAACTTGCATGGATATTGAGACAGAAATAAAAAGAATGAAATCGAGTCTTTGTGCACCATATTGTTCGAGTCTGTCTGTTTTATTATACGTTTACCCCTATATTCTCTTTTGTGAAAAGTTTTACTTATGTTAGTTTATTTATTTAAATACATTTTCTCTACTACATGGGTTTTATGTCACGAGACAGTAGATTCAAGTGATGTGGGAAAAAGCAATAATGGCCTATCTTAAGATTGTGATACTAGCATTTGCCTGGAGAAACTAAAATCTCATCAATGAGGACAGCGAAAATCAAATTCATGACCTCCAGTTTTTTTATATCCATAAAGTATGTTAGATCAGTAAGAATAACTGACAGCTATTCAAAACTTTCTGAACAAAAGGATTTTTCTTGGACTTCTCTTGATGTTTTCTTGTGAATCCCTCTGGCCTGTGGTTCCATTGAAACACCGCCACTTACCCCTGAATATAAATAGCTGGCCACCTCTTGTAGTGTTTTACTAACTTGATCAAGTTCCAAAGCCTCTCAACAAGTTCCTCCTTGTCCAGTCTATGTTTATGTGAACGTTCAAATGGAGGGTTTTCCACCAACATCCGTATTAATTGGTGACGTACTGAAGGCTCTGGGTCATTCTCTGCCAGGTCCAACAGAAATTCCATATCTGGCCATCGTCCATCTACTTTTGTAAAGTCCACCAGAGCCTCCAAAGCAGCCAATCGCACGTCTGTACGAAAAGAGAATGAAAGTTAACTTCCATTTGATCGCATTAATTTCTGAATTTTGCCAAATTCTCTTAACCCTTTGAACAGGAAAAAATTTTATAAGCCAAAAACCTGAAAATAATAAATAAGAAAAATGTGCCCACTGACTTAATTTACACTCAAATGTACTTTTATTAACTTTATCAACATAGCTCATTTTATGAGAAATACATGAGGTTTGACGAAGAAAATTGGGTACTTGTGGGTTATCGGGACACACAGCTTTAAAGATAGGTTAGGTTAGGTTAGGGTTGGTGTTATCTGTTAGTTTATTCAGTTATTTATTGCTGTCCACACACATTAACCTAACCTAACCTAGTTTTAAGGCGATGTGTCCCGATAACCCACAAGTACCGAAAATTGTTTCAGATAATTCAGACTAAGCAGGGACATTCAGTCTAGTTCATAATCTTTATAAACTGTTTCTTGAAGATATTTCAGTAGTTTTCTTTCTATTTGTACCACTGTCCAAACTCAGTTGAATAACAATTACAAGAAAAACTGCATGCTGTTGTCTTCCCATTATCCATGTCTCTTCTATTCTTTAAAGTAGCATGCCTATTACGTACCAATAAACTGTCCATATTCAGCATAACTGCGGAACAGGGAAGGGTTGCTTGGCAAATGGCCAAACTTCTGCAACTTGCGTATTGCCTTGAGACAGGCAACTGATACTGTAAACTTGTAACATGGAAGCAACTTTTCTAGATTCAAGCACCGGGTTATTTCCTCCAGCACCAGCTTTGTATCAGAGGACACAGATTCAGCTGTGATTGCAGTCCTATATAACAAAATTAGTTTTCATCAATCTTTTGATGAGTTCCATGAATGTTTGATTAAATACTGTGATTACAATAGTAGTAGAATACTAGCATTGAAATTGTAAATTGTGGCTGGATCTCTAATAGTAGATGGATAACAGGACAGAAACTGTTAACAGTACTTGGGTGTTAGCACAGAATTTGTAAATTGTGATTTGTCTCAACAGTAGTTAGGCACTAGTAAAGAAACTCAAATAGGGCCCAAATCTCAAAAGTCGGTAGCTGCGTCTTAGCCACAATCGTAAATAACAGATGGGTCTCAGATAGTAATTGGGCGATTGCACAGACCACCGAACTATAAACTCTTGATCAAATGGTGTGGTTTAAGTAGCAGATCAGGTTTCTATTTAAATAATATAATTTCCAGAGAAGGACAGTGAGACGGAAAATTCAGCACTAAATACAATCTTCTGAAGTTCATTAACATAAATTTATTTTAGTATGAGTGGCTACACACATAAGGTCAGCCAGCCACATACCCTTGCTGTACCACAGAGATTACAGGGGTTACTGTGGCCCCCAGGGCTTCTACTAATGAGGCCCGATAGTAGTTATCAGAATAACGATTCTTGCTGTTATCATTGTACTTGAAGAGGTCCAATAAGAATCTTATCACCTCCGGTGGACAGATTCCATGTGTGTTCCTTAACCCAGCCATTGCCACTGGAATAGTCTGAAAAATAAGGGTTGATCATTTTACACAAATGTGAGTTTTCCTGAATCCCCCAGGTTTGCTCAGTTCTGTAAATTGTTTCACAGGATTCTTTTGCCATAAGTGTTCTTATATACATGTGTGTGTGTGTGTTCTTTTTGGGGGGGGGGGGGGGGGGTGATTTTTGTGGTTCTGTAGACTTGACGGAATTAAAAGTAATTTTTCATTAAAAGTAAAAAGCAATGTCTAGGACTATAGAGATAAAGCTTGCCTTTTGAAGAAAATAATGTTGTAGGTTTGTGAAGTTATTCTGCCTCACAATATGTGGACAGGAGAAGGATCCAAACAATTTTCGGAAAATTGCAAGCATAGCAGGAGGTCCAGCCCAATTTGCAACCATTGCATTTGCAACCTGCAAAAAGTGAAAAACAAAACCAGTGATTATATGTTCTACAAATATATTAGTAACTCCATGGTAGGTAATCTTTTGGAGCAGCTGATTACTATTCATCTTGTCAAGAAATTTCCTGCTTTTATGGAGCCTAACTGCTCCTAAAATCCACCACCAGACTATATACACTTCTTATATTTAATCACCCTACATATTATGTTTTAGCCCTATCCACATTCATCAAAATCCTTATCTACTACCCAGTCATGATCATTTGACTGTACATAACCTATTGCAGTTGTAACAACATTATCAAATAACCTGAGAATCAATTTACTACATTTTTTGCAGATACAGAACTTGGGGGAGGGAAGGGAATAAACAATAACTCAGTCAATTGCATCCTGTCACTGATACAAGTTGACAGATAAAATAATGTAACAAAGATTAAGTTTTCATATCATCTGTAATGTCTCCGGTATGTTGGCAGTATACACGCACCTTAGTCAGACAGTGGGCAGCACGGCAGCGCACTTTGTAGTATGCTTGTTCATTCTCAATTGTGTCTGTAAGTGCCAATCTAGATGCAGGTGTTGGGTACCGTTCAAGAGCAGAAATGGCTTCCATCTGTGCAGTTACATCTCGCTCATGGCGCAGTTGGTACTGCCATTGGTAATCTGGCTGTTCAATGAACGTTGAGCGGAGGAGAGTCATGTCAGGGTCCAAACGTAGCCACAGTACTGGTGAATCAGCACTGTTAGCAACAGCATTTATTAAAAATGTAGAATTAGAATAGCACTATAAAGTACACTGTGACAAGACAGGTCAAATGTCTAGGCACATTACCTTCAAATCCAGAATGTTAAAATATTCCTTTTGGATTTTTGTTTCTAATATATTAACTATTGCATGTCTCTTGTCAGACTCCAGCATTCCCAAAATCACATTCTGGTCCAATGTAAAATTATATGCCATTTTTAAAAATTAAAAATAATGGATTAAAATTATGCCTGTGGTTTGGTTTGCTGTGTGATCAATATAAGTACCTTAAAAGCAATCTTCTGTTACATTGAGGTTCTACTGAGCGCAGCAAATTTTAAATTGAAACCATACTTACAGTTGGTGTCACCTTTTAAAATAAATATACTTTTTTCTTCTGAATTAGACTCAGATATACTTTTGTTTTCATTCTCAGGAGACAACAATGTGTTGTGGTGGTCTCGTTTGTTGACTTTTCGAAGAATCTGGCCATCTCCATCTTTGATGTAAAGTGAATAAGCAATGCCCTGGTGCTGTTTACAGTAATGAAAGCTACTTTCACAGAATGGTTTCAGTCATGACAGAGATGTTAGAATGGGTGTATAAGATACATGGCAAGTTCTTCGAATGTGACAACATTCACTAAAGGTTAGTGTCTTTATTTTTTTATAGAATTTGTTTAGTTATTTGTCAGGCCTTGTATGGTATTTGTGTGTGTTTGGGTACAAGCTGTTCACTGAGGGTTTGTAGACATAAAAGGGACTTCATAGATTTTACCTTGATATATGAATAATTTACATCACATAATTATCCTCGCATATGAAAAACATAACCATTATTGTTTATAGACCATTATCAAACAGAGAAAAATTTGTCACTAACTCCATGGCACTAAGGTCCATGTCCACTTCTTCTCCTGTACAGAGTGGAATCTTCTTCTTTTTGTTACGGCGACTTTTAGAATGGCAGGTGATGTCAGCTTTGGCGACGGTGCCTTCCACCTGTAAAGTATGACTAAAAGTTCCATCCAATTCCTGAATGGTAACAAGAAGTGGACCCACATACTTCCTGATCCCTCGCTGCTGTGTCGCATCTTGACGAATCTCTAACTCCACAGTGTTCCTGTAAAGAGATCAGATATTTTTGACATAATGAACACTTTTCTTACACTTACATACATAACTGTCATCAGTCACTGACTCAAAGGTAGGAATGTAATCAGGTGCATGACAGCAAAGTAGAAGAATGTAAATTAATAGCTGGATGTAATTCATGACAAAATTAAGAGAAAAGATAAGTTCAAGAAATGCTTTTTATTATTCATAAAAATATTTTCATGCATACCAAAACATTAATTTTTCAAGATGTTTTTTATATTTGTGAAACATTACCTGTGTTGAGCTTTTGGGTTCTGTCATCACAGAGTTAGTATATTCATAGGTCACTACCAAGCTTTATGAAATCAAATATGATATAATGGGGCTTTATATCCCTTCATCCTCATTTTCTTTGACTGTGCATAAATCATTAGTAGAGAAACTGTTGTAGGAATAATTATATCATATGTTTTACTTGTATTAATCCTAACACTTTTTAACTGAAATTATATGATAAAAATGCATTGAATATTTTTTTATCAATGGCATGTGGCCTGTATGTGGCTTTTTAAATTGACCCTTGTGTGAGAAAGGTTTAGTCACCACTTATCTAATAAACTAAACAGTCCTTTGTTAAAGTAACATTATCTCTAATGTGTACCTTTTCCTGTTGAACACAAAGCTGAGATGAAACTTGGCATGACCCCCTGTGCGCACCCACTGATCAATAAATACAGCCATGTCCTTGCCAGTTACAGTGAAAATAGCCTTAGCAAAGACATTTGTGCTGATCAACATATGACTCCACAAACCACTGCCAATCTTTTCCTGAACTGCATTTGATGCCAGAGAAAGTTGCTTATTGAACACCTAGAAACAAATAAAACCTAAAAATTATATCATTATGCTGGGAATTAAACTGCAGTTATCTGGTTTGTAGCCTGTCACATTACTGAGCTAACATGGCTTTGCAGAGCAGTTTCAAGTGAAAATACTAATTACCATCATCATCTGATGATGATTCCACCAGGATGGTTTGTCTCATGACAGAATCTTCTCCATTATTCTTCTTCCATATGCATGTAAAACTGCATGCATTTTGATAACTTCATTTGTATAGAAGGGGTAAATTGAGTTATGTATAATCATTTCTGGATGTAATAACAAATTTACCCCTCTGATTGGAGATAAGATTTATAGATACAAAGACTTATTTCAAAACATATTGGCGACATCCTCAACTTGTTTGTACCTAGATAACCTGCATATTCTACTCTGTATTGCAATGCTAGGTCTATGAGAGCAATAGTAATTTCTAAATGATTGTGGCAGGCCATAGTAACTTCACTGCGGCATGGGGGGGGGGGAAGATCCCACTTGGGAAATGCTGTGTAAAGGGAAGTAAGATTAATAGAGGGTTGAACTATTAGTAATATATGAATATTGCTACAGGCAGAATGAAATCTTTTATGGGACTAATTCTGGACTGTAGGCAACATTTAGCCAACACCTTGGTCTAATCCTTCAGTTTTAAAATGCACCATTCCAATGGAAACTTCCTTTAATGCTTGTTTACCTGCAACAGGAGTTCCTGTCCAATACGATGCTCCAACATGCGCATGACAAGATGTGCTTTCTTCCTTAACACTTCTAAGTACTTGGGTGACATTGTATGTAGGTTGCGGACTGGAAAATAGAAACCGGGATCAGGGGGTCGTGGTGGTGCAGCTGGAGATGCTGTAGATGAAGGCACAGGGGCAGGGGCTTGGCTGGGATCCAGAACAATTCCACCAAACTGTTCTTCATACCGTACCACCTCTTGCAATTCCTGCAGCAGAATCATGTAATTAATATTACAAAACTTATTAGAAGTGTGTGGTTTTTGGATCCCTACATTTTCAGTATATTCATAACCACGGTCAGTAATTTTCTTGTATCAGTTGTTCATTTAATAGTTTAGTCTTAACTCATTGGTAGAAACACCTGAAGATTGACACCATCAACACAGAAAGAGATATCATGTTTCTGTTATTTCACTAAATTCTCCCTTCTACATGATTTATAAAAGTTTCGTCTTAATAAAAAATGTGAAAAATATGGGTCTCATCATTAATATACCCTACATTTCTGTGTCACTTAAAAACAATGACCCTTCTGGTCTGGATTTATTTGGTATTTGAGAAGACCTAACATAAGAAGGTTCAGGGTTTTTTTTTTCAAATCCAGCCAGGCAACAGTTAAGGCAAGGCCTGAAATTTAAACATTGAGAGTGTGTGCACATTCCTTAAACCACATTGGTAAATAATAGCACTTTACTTACTGTCTGTATCCACTCCCTGTATTCATTGTTTCCAAAACATTTCTTGGCATACAGGCTGCTCAGGTATGTAGAAATACCCTTGGGTAGCCAAGTATCAGACCAATTCTGCATAGAGATGAAACAACCAAAGAACTGCTCAGCAATGGCCTGAGCCATAGCTTTTCTTGTCACGTATGTTTGATCAATTATGGCCATGGAATGCAGCAGGTTTGTGCTGAAACATGCAAATAATCGAATGCTACACAGACAATCAGTGACATGATTTGAAGGAGTTGCATTACTTATTTACATTTGTGCACAAATGCTGGCAGTTCGTGAAGTCCATTGTAACAAGAGTCAGTGTACAGACTACAATATGCATAAAAATACCCAGTACCCAGAAAATCAAACAGTACCGTTAAAATTCAACATATTCAGATCAGTGACAGAAATTTTCAATGTAACCTTTTCACTATTAATGGCCAAGATCATTAATTTATGATTTAGTTAGTACATTGTGTTTTAAATTTATGTAGTTTATATCACAGTCAGTATATGGTTTGTACAATATTCATATATATGTATAAAAACAGTACATATATTGTGTAACAAATGTCACTAAAATATTTATATTTTACATTTTTTGTTTTGTTTTGTTTTTATGACAAAAAAAGCTACGTGACAAAAGGCAAGTTGGCGACCTGCTAGAACCATGTGCACGTCACATATCATGGAGAACTGAATTCAAGTTTACAGTACCAGTGTCCATACTTTCCAAATGCATTCTTCGCATTTTGTATTTTGTAAACTTGATTAGCTTTATGTTAATTTACTACACAAAAATCTAATGTTGCAAAGCAAATCATACAACTAGTACCAAACTCCATAGTCAGAAATGATGTGCTCTGTTTCATTAAATATTCACAAAGTAAAAAATATTTTAAATAAAAGTTGCTCATTGTAATGAGATACATATTTTATGACATGTAATGTAATATAATATTTTATACGATGGGTCATTTGTGCAATTTGTATAAAAGACTCTTAATACAGACAGAACTTTTAATTAAGAAAATTATGATAGTGATAAAGTGATTGGCAGTGAACATCACACATAGATTCTCTGCTACTTTTTTATGCCACACAAGCCCCTTGGACAAAAATATCTGGAATTCAGAGATTGTGTGATTGATTTCCAATTGGTCTGAATGAAGTATGACAAATAAAACACAGAAGAATATAAAATAACAGTACTAAGTTACAGCTGTATCTCTGCTTAAACACTTTGTCATCAAGGCTTGTTGTATGATGGATGGAAGTGAGAAGTCATCTTGACTATTCTACTCCCACAGAAAAAATGTCAAGTAATCACTGTATGGGAGTCCAGATGGACTTGATGGAGAGAGAAATTCTCTGCTTGAAATCAACTGTCCAACTCTTTTATAACAATGCAACTGTTATTCCAAACATAACCTTAAAAGGGCACAACAATGATTTATACCTTACGATACTCATGGTGGCATATGCAGAAATATCTTGATCAGCTTCATCCACAAATACTTGCTTATAGCAGCTATATGGGTATCGATTAGCCAGCGTCTCTTCATAAAATTCAAATGCCTCGTGCATATATCGTGCTGACACTTTTAAAAGAGGCATGAGTTGTGGCAGACAGAAGAGAGTTACTTCATGCATGTATGGGTCCACAAAGATTTCAAATGGCCTGTAAAAACATCATCATCATAAATATAGATACATCAATATGTTGAACTCGACTTATTTAATTTTACTATATCAAATTAAGACTGATACAGCTAACCGACGATCTGAAACGAGGAAAGAAGATGAAGTTTCAGGAGTTAAAACGAGAGGCTGAGAATAGGGAAAACTGGAGAGCTCTTTTTGGGCAGAGCAATGGACCTGTCGTCAGACAGAACACTGAATAATAATATATCAAATTCTGAGGTTATATGTGTTGAACAGGATGGGAATATGAAAGAGTAGATAATATTTTGGAATCTTCCAAAGGAATTATGTGAGAATTCACATAGAGATTGAAGGAACTATGAAAAATATCAAGGCAGCTGTTAACCCAGCCATAATTCAAAGTGAGTACCTCTTGCATACAAGTCTTGATCTTTCTTCTACATCAAACTGCTTGGTAACAAATGGAACATAACACTTTCCAAGTTATAATGCTGTCTGCACTGACATGAGAGAAATAAAATCACTATTAAAAGTGTAAAGGCAGCATACAATATAAAGAGACATTTTTGCAGGTTATACTGTTATATAACATGTATGCAATGTAAACAAAAGCATTAGAAGTGCAATGTCATGTAAATGTAAGCTGCACAGACAAAGTGTGGACAGTGTGAATAGTCATACTCATGTTGACATTGAAAGAGTTATGCACGCAGAATGACCATTGCTACTACACCAATTTGCTTGGTGTTTGAATATGAAAGAGGGAAACAATCGGCAAATGTGGCAGAAAAATGTATCAGTTTTTGATGTAAATATGTCTATGAGGAAGGGTCATTCGGCAAAAATGTGTTACAAAAAAGTGTAACTTCATTGTTATGTTACCTAGGAAATGTCATCTGTTTACTCGGCATTGTTGTGTTACATTACAGCCGTCAACAATCCGCTTTCGTTATTACGTAGGAAACATCATCTGTTTACTCGGCATTGTTGTTACATAGGAAACGTTACATTACATTAAAATACATTACTTTACATTACATTCATCTACCACAGACCCATTTTAAGCGTAACTAATTCAAGTTGATTAAGCAATGTCTTAATCAAACTTATCTCAAATGTAAAGCATGTATAAAGAAAAAATACTTAGAATAAAGCCAATATATAAACTTCCTTTCCTTAAAGACGTATTTACGTCAAATTCTCCGGAACCGTGGTTCCACTATCACTTTTTAGAGTCTTCACTCCCCTATAAGGGAGCACAGCACTCCAGTTGCAATGTCACAATTGATACTAATATATGTTTACTCAGATAACTATCACTTACCCTACTGCCAATGCAATGTTTGGAGCAGATGTTGGTGTGTTCAGTAGGTAATGATAAGTCTTACGGCGCATGTCAGGAGTGTATCCAACCTCAATAAGGTCACCACATGAGACAGCAGTCATGTTTTCATCCACTGTAAACTCTAACCTCCAAGTACATGGTTCAGCAAAGCTATCTACACATGGAAACCACAACCTTGATGAATTCTCATGTCCATATGTAAACATATGTGCTCCTCTCTGAAATATTAATCAGTAAATTTTAATCCATGTAGATCTTGTAAAAGCATTACAAGTAAAGTGAAGTAAAGCTGTCCTACTTTATGCCATGTAGGTGCTTTGGGTGGGGGGATGGGGGTAAATCCTACTCATTCTTAACTTTGGCACTAGATAGGGGTGAGTGGTCAGCATCATGCCCAAACTGTGCTTTACTCCCAGGAAAAGACCCCAGTACCTGTTGTATAGGAGGCTGGGTTGGCCCCAGAGCTAGTCTGGATGCAGAGACTAGAGGAAAAATCCTCTGCCCCCATCGGGGATTGGTAGAAGCATTAACTTCTTTAAAAATGTTCTCTCTGAATAAATTAATACATATGAAATATTAATCGATGTAAATCATGTTTTGAGAAATTCTTAAAACATTAAGTGATAATGACGTTCTTTGGAAATATGCTCCCCAGTCTGACATTTACAAAATATAATGAATTTCTCAGATATCTGCCATTATAAATTAGCATCATTGTAGATTTAAATGGCCAGCAGAGGCAAAGTTCATACAATAAGGGGTTAATATCTTATTAGGAAAAAAAATATATTGTATTATAAATTAAGACATTTTATTTTGTATGCGAACAATTTTATGTAATTCACACCTCAGATAATGTCCCTTCACAATTAGGGATAACAAAGTGCACTCCTCCCTGAGGTTGCTCTGAAGAGAATTCAATCCCGAGTCGAAGGGCCCTTCCTTCTCCAACTAAGTGGCTTGCCTCTGGAGGAATACTGATAACAAGCTCCCCTGCATTATTATCAGGATCAGTCTGCAGAGCAGCAGCTAAATGTGCTGTGGAGAAGGCATCCAGAGATCTCCTGCAACCAAAATTGCAACTTCTCACTTTAACTCTAATTTATATTTATTTGGAATTTTTATGGAGCTTTCATGAGATAAGGCCACCTGGGAAAAGGTGCAAATAAGGGGTCCTTATTTTTATACATAATATTAAAATAAATACAAATAACCACATCATTATATGCAATGTGATATGTTTTATGATGGTGATGACAGTAAAAATAAGCTTAACAGCTAATACAACACTGGTACATTATATAATACAGACTTCTTTAAAATCTAAAATTTTTACTTGAAACAGTGATTTCATTTATAACTATGGAGAGTGGTAATTCTGTTCTTATTTACTATGCAACAATATATTTATCTCTACTATAATAATTTGTATCTGCAAGAAATGAACATCGAGGCTGATGTGGTATGGTAATTCCTAAATAACATGTTTTGAAAATGTGAATTATTCTGAACTTGAGTACACCTTTTCATTGTTTTTAAATACCACCACCTGAAATCAGTGAAAGCACACAAAATTTAAGATGCAAGCATACAATGAAAAATGTAAACATGTGACAGTACTTACTGCTTAGTGTCACCCTGGCATATGTCCAAAAATGGATCAAAATATTGGAAAGGTGCCTCAAATGCATCATTTATTATAACCCGGTAAATGCGACATTGTTTGGCATTAAGCTTGATGTTCCTCAAGGTATCTCGGAGGGGAACAATTGTTAACTCTACAAAGCCCTGTAAGAGAAGGTTGGCAGATAAATATATATAACATTTGTCACAAAATACATTAATCTGTAAGAATAATACTTACAATTATACTTTGTCTCTGAATGTTAATTCCTGTCAGGCTGACAATCTGATGGGCTGTAAACAGTCATAACAGAATGAAGTTAGAATGCTTGAAAGCAGAGACTTCCTCACCTTAACATACTAGTAGTTTTCTTAAAAGATGAAAATATATGAACTTCCACCTACATTTTTTCCCCTGAGATTTTGTACACTGCTCCACAAATCATAGCACTTGTAACACAGCACATCTTAAGAACAGACTATAGAAAGGAGTTCCCAGCATAAATTATCATATTATTTAATTCTAGTTTACACAACTTCTGTTGCTTGCAACTGTAAATATTTTTAGGCAGACTGAAGGTAAATAAAGCTTTGTGAGATTTGAGGTGACAAGTATAGTGTGTAAAGTAAAAAATGTGGCAATTTTCAGATTTTTGGAACTAACGAATCAAACTTTCATCTGTGCAGAATTTAATAGCAAATTCATTCTGGGATATCCTTGTTACCATTCAGTTAACAATCTTTCGTCATTCCGACTATATACAAATTTTAAAATACACAAAACTATAATTTTATATGTTTTGTGTGGGTGTAAAACTGAGTTTCGCACATTAGAAGAAGGCCATAAATACAATGAGTACATAACCAAACACAGGGAATCTAACCTCACATTCTGAGATTTGGAGTTCTCACGGAGGTGAAAATATTGAATACAGAATTTCGAGCTGTGATGCCATATAGTCTTGTAGATGGTTATAAACGTTTCGTAGGAATGTAATCACTTCCTTTTATAGGGTAGAAAACTACTTCATTACACCACAATCGACTTAACAGTACTTTAATAATAGTTTTATATATATAAACGTATCCTGTAAATAATACTTATAATTTAAATGGTCTTGATTTGTCGGCAGTTTTTTCCTTCTTCATTCTGTAAGGTCCTTGCATATGTCCTCATAACCTAAAACATTAAACAGCCCATATAAACATAAACAAACAATTGTTGCACGCCATATTGCTTCCCAGGTTATGGCCTGCTGATTTCTTCCACTTGGCTTTGTATCATAGATTAGGCTTATCTGTGGATCTCAGTTGACCACTTATAACCTTTATTCATCCTGATCGCTGCCTATGTTAGTATTATATGCGATCGGAGCTACCGTTCTGTACTGGTATTCGTGCGTGCTTTCGTATGAAGTTTGAAAGATGTGTCTAGGCCGATAAAATATTTTGTTCGTATTCCGAAAAAAATAAACATAGTGGGGAAAAATTGACAATGTCATCCCATCATGGATCTCCATTTTCATCGGCGTATTTACATGACGAGTATGACTTTGACGATGAAATCAACGACGAAGACTTGGACGAAGATCGCGAAAATGATGAACAAGAAGAAAGTGATGAAGGTACATGATTTATTTTACGTATAACTTTAATTTATTCGATTTTATGGCATCTAGTATCGTCACTGTTGTTAGGCTCTGTAAGAAGTGCTTCGAAAATGTTACGTGTTTTTTAAATTTTATTGTCCCTATCATATGTTCCAACTGAAGTACACTCAGTAATGCTCTTATTTATTGCACTCTTATCTTAACAGATACAGACAATTTTATTTGGATAATTAAATATTTGGCAGATGTTTTTGTTTAAAAAGAGCCAGGATGTGTTTTCCATTGTCAGAGGTGTGATGTTCCATATTTGTTAAAATGAATTTCTGATAATAGCACTGTCTTTTTTCTATACAATTTGGGATATGCTACATTACATAGGCAGGGCTAGGGATTGTTAAATTGTGACACTACAATAAAGTTATAGTCCTATCAAGTTGCTGCCACTAAAGGAAAGTCTAGAAAGGGAGATGCATGCACATTAGCTACATGGAAGAGAAAATGCATGTTCAGGCAGTTGGTACTTACTCAGTGACATCTACAGACCTTGAAGGACCTTGGCCGCCTAACATGCGTGAGGTTTCTTAAGCTGTTTGGAATAGAATTTATTTACATTCCATAGATCCTTTATAGGCCCAAGCCAAGTACGTAGAACATATCGTTGCACAAATATAATACTCGTTTCTAATACATTGCATTGCTATGATAGTCAACTACAGTATTACCACAAGAATAATTTCACAAGAAATCATACGTACTGTTACATGTATTTATAGTAGCTGAGAATTTTTGGTTGAGGTAAATTGAGGGAGATGTGTGGTAGCACTATTTGTATGAGTGATCAGCTTGTTGCATAGCCTGTGCCTACATAGGCACCACACAACACAGAAATACAAGGACAAACATCCATGCCTTGAGGAATATTTTAACCCACAATCTCAGTGACCAAACAATCAAGTCCCATGTCCCAGACCATACAGCTGCTGTGACCAGCTCAGTCAGTGGATACTTTTGCTAAAATTCTAAAGCTGGCCCTTAACAGTAGATTTAGCATGAGTTTGAAATAAACAGTTTTAACCAATAGGTTATTATATGTCACAACTTAAGTAAAATGTCACACCACAAATTAGGATAATTGTGAATTGGAAGGGATGTGGAAGAAAGTGATTATGGCTTATTTTAAATCACTATCACAGTGTATATACAGATGGAAGGAAATCATAAAGAAACTCTATTATACATACTTTGTCTGCTGAGGTTTGAATCCAAACCTCTCATGTCACTGTCGCCAGGAATGCATTGGTGTATTTCCCAGGTCACTATCACTGGGAAGCAGGGGTGGTAATCATTCAGCTATGGTGTTTGGTAAATTGGTATTTTGAAGTTCTTGAACTATGGGAATTCTGACCAGAATAAGGAATCATGAATCAAAGGTTGGGTTGAAATATAATCATAATAGCCAGTCTTCTTTTTTCACACTACTTTAATTCCATTTATCCTTCTGTAATTTTCCTGGTGAAGCTCTGTCCTCATAGAACTGAAGTAAATGGAAGTCTTAAATTTTTCAGATACTGAAGAAGCAAGTGAAACAGATATGGGGAAGTCCGAAGAATACACGGAAATTAAAGAACAGTGAGTGCGGTTATGTTTCATGAATATGATTTTACTTACTCCTAGTTTATGATCCTTATATGGTTATGTTTTGTATACAGAATGTATCAGGACAAACTAGCCAGTCTGAAAAAGCAGCTTCAGCAACTAAAGGATGGTACACATCCTGAGTACAATCGTAAATTGAAGATTCTTGATGCTGCTTACAAAGAAAGGTAAGCCGAGACATATGTTTTAAACATTCTTTAAAAATTAACCCCCTGCTAGTAATTATTGCTTGAGTGGTTTTTATAGTGATACTTTGAATGCTTGTTATACTTTGTTGAAACTGTCTGAACCAGTGCCACATTTTAATTTTACTAGAGCCGAGCGCTGCTTTCGGAGCGCCTCCCCCGAATGGGGGTTAAAACACTTGACCAACCCCCTTCGGGGGGGTTGGTCAAGTTTACAACGCCAACAGTTCTTGTTCAGTCAACTTTTTACTTCCAGCCCCACCCTTACAAATCTTTGTCTTAAAATCGATCATAAAGTCAGTTTTCATAATAGTTTTCGTAATCATAATATATCGAATGAGTATCAGTTTACCTTGTTGGAGTTGGTACTTCAAATACTTGATAACGTCTTCTTTCACTTTTCTAATGTTTTAGGCCAACTGTCGGTCAATTTTCAAGAATGTGATGTGCTGCTTCTGGAGCAGTGATCATGCGACTGGCTTGATAGTTTTTATTGTGAAGCACTACTCATATTAGTTTACTATAAACCACACTCTACTAATTTGTATATTCATATTAATTGCTAATAATTTTTGAAACCAAATTTTGATCACTATCATCTAAACTTTCCAAATATAGATTATTTTTTTTATTTCCAGGTTGCATCTTAATGTTATCCATAAGGATTATTTGATAGAATGTGTTGAAAGGGACTATGTAATTGAGAAGAAAGCTGCTGTAAAAGAATTTGAAGAAAAGAAAATAGAGCTCCGAGAAACTTTAATATCAGATATGGAAGAAAAACGTAAACTCATAGAGGCTGAACGTCACACCATGGAACTGACAGGGGATTCAATGGAGGTAGGATTAGAAGAGATAAGATTACTAAATAAAACTCATAGTCATCCCATGATGAATATTAACGAGTAGTTCGATAAAATTTTTTATTCAGTTTAATTATTTTAGACCATGTGTCATGTGTCTCAGTGTCTCAGCTGCTAAACTCTTAACTTCACAATTATAATTTGGCTGACAGCCAAATAATATATAGGTTTAAATCCTGTACTCTAGAATTATAAGCGTTAAATATGTTGTTTCACACAGTAAATAATAAAACTTAAAATATATGAAGTGCATAAATGTTGTCAGCAGTTTCATGGTCAGGTTTTTCAGAATATTGAAAAAGATGGTATGTGTTGACCTTTCTTACTTGTATCACTTTGTCTCACAACTTGTAGGTAAGAAGTGGTACTCAAAATCCAGATTTCCTGTGTCTGCTGCAAGTTATGCAATAAAATTAAATAAGTATGATACTTATAACTACACGCAGTGATGTTTTTGGGGAAAACTTTGCATTATTTATTGGTATGTCTGAACTAGTAGATCAAGGTGTAGCCAAAACATCTCAGATCTGCTGTTCTAATTGTCTTTTAAATACATGTCATTGCAGATGGAAAATCTCATGAGGCATACTACAGGAGATGCACTTACCCAAACATGAGATCTGTCTGATGACTGTGAAATGATTAGTGATTCATTACATTAGCAGGCAACTAACTCCTATTGCAGGTGAAACCTGTCATGACGCGGAAGCTCCGGCGACGTCCAAATGACCCAGTTCCAATTCCAGAGAAGCGACGCAAACCACCACCAGCACAACTTAACTACCTTCTGGACGAGAAGGATATTGAAGGAGACTTGAAAATCATTAGCCGGGGGAAGTTGCTTGGTCCCATTAGAAAACCTGGTACATCTTAAATCATATTACTAAAATTTCCTCCATGAAGAGAAAAGCTAAACTGCTATAAAACTTAAATTCATGATAGAGTCTTAGTATGGAATGCCAGTAAGATGACTCTCTGTAGGCTGGGCAACCTCTGGCAAGGACAGAGGTTTTTCTATGTGTCGCAGCGTGCAGAATAGTACTGGGGCCCACTGAGCCTCCTATGGGCACTACAGAGTTGTTTCTTTTGGGTATAAAACAGCTGTAGCATGAAGCTGACCGCTGATCTCAGTCTGCAGTTGAGGTCTAAGTATGTAGAGCTTTACGTTTAATTTAAGGCAGTTATTTTGATAAACCTTCCTGTCCTGATGTCATCTAGGTTGTTCTTACGTACAAATGCCACATGAACTGCGATATGTATAAACATGGCAGGAAAAACCTGAAGATGATGCTACACATCGAAACATGTAGTAAATGAAGGCGCAGTATTGTAACATCGTAGTAACGATGAATAGCGCAAATTTTAAATTTTAAATTTTAACATCTGTAAATAAAGTTTGTGTATAGACCTGAATTATATTATATATTTTAATGGCAGTTTGTGTTCAGATTGGTATACTCACAGTAAAGGGAAAGATATTAATATTAATTAGAAATAATAATATTTACAGCACTTGTTCCTTCTTCTGGTTTGTCATCATTGGGACTTTCACTGCCTGATAATTCTCTTCCTGACACTAGAATCGAGGACGGAAAGTTGCTGTATGAACGAAAATGGTATGGAACAATTTTATAAGCAGTTGTGAGAATTTTTGTTGCATGTGATATTAGTTATTTATTGGTTCGTTTTGTAACTGATCTTTGTCTTTCTGCTGATAAGATGCCTTGTTGTTATGGTGATTTATTTGTTAAAGTTAACTACAAATTTGAGTTCTGATTTACAAAGGTGCTTAGTGTTTAAGTTTCCTGATATCCACACATTAGTGATATGGATCTTACACGTTTTCCTTTCACTTTTTTGCCGAATGACCCTTCTGTATAGACATATTTACGTCAAAAAACATTTTTCTGATGAAATATTTAGCCTGGAAAAGGTTAAGTATCAGTGCTCGACTTAGGTTTGTGACAGTTCGTGTTATTGTTATTGTTGCGAAGGGAGGAGACTATGTCTCTACAGAATTTCAGCAAGCAACAGGCCGATTGTCCAGCCCCAAGATGATACATGAGTGAGTATGGAATGATATTGACAGGGGAAAATGAAAAACCTGTCTCAGTGCCACTTTGTCTACCACAAATCCCACATGGACTGCCCTGGGCACAAATCCGGGCTTCTGTGGTGAGAAAGTGGCTACTAACTGTCTGAGCTGTGGCACAACCCTGTGTGTTATATGTACTTATGTGTTTTTTTCATTTTCTTATACATTATATAAAGCCATTGAAGGGTTTCATATCAGGTAATGACATAAATGTTAGAGAAAGTTATTTTTGTTGGTTTAATTTATTTCAGGTATCATCGAGGGCAGCCAGTGTACGTAGAAGGAAAAGATCTTCCTCGTTTCTCAGCCATTATTTCTGCCATTGGCACAGAGGCTGTAAGTATAATGGATTAAACCATATAAGGCCACAAAATTATGACCAGAACTCTGTAAGACAAATGATGTTGGAATAATGTTGTAGACGTACCCCTCTGCACAATCTCAGATTACATGCAACTTCTAGAACAATACCTTTAAATAAAGATTGCTGTCTTCTGGTTTGTTGCGCCATGTAGTCTGGTAGATGTTTACCAACGTTTCAGAGGTCATACTGCCTCCGTCATCAGGGCGATGAATAAGCCGTGCGAGTGGAAAGGGCCAGAGTTATAGGGACTGGACATTTAAGGAGTAGCCTAATCCTCACCAGTGGAGACTGGTTTCTGAATCAGGCAAGGGTACGGGAACCAATAGGAGTGTGTGGGCATGTCACAGTGTTCCCTGTGAGTGCTGCAAAGTCTGCATTGGGCACACTGGCCATTCTATTGAGACTAGGGTCAAGGAGCACTAGCACCACATCCTGCTGGAGCAACCTGGTAAATCCTCCGTGGCCGAGCACGGCTTCAACCTGGGTCGCCGCATCCAACTGCAGGATACCTCTATCCTGTCCACAAAATCCGGATATATGGATCGGATGATGAGGGAGGTCATCAAAATTTAATTACATTCCAACAACATCAACAGGGAGGATGGACTTTGCCTTAGTTGGTCATGGAATCCCCATGATTCACACTTTTCAAGGGCTCCTGAAACATCTCACAGAACGTTGCTAGTCCTGCCCAGGCATCCAACCACTACTCTGCCCTTTTCAGGACATGTCTGGTCTTGGCCAGTGCTCCCCCAAAAGGTTTTTTTTTATTCTGAAACCTCTCTCTCTCTTTCCTTCGCAGATGCTGTTATATGCCCAAGCTCTCCTATTGGTTCCCACACCCTCGCCTTATTCTGACACCAGTCCCCACTGATTAGGATTAGGACACTCCTTAACTGTCAGGCCCCTATAACTCTGGCGCTTTCCACTCGCACAGCTTATTCATCGCCCAGATGATGGAGGCAGCAAGGACCTCTGAGACGTTAATTAACTTCTACCAGACTACATTGTGCAACAACCCAGAAGACAGCAATCTTCAGACTCACCGCCATGGAAACCTTTAAATAGTCCACATCTGCTTTTAATCCTTCACAATTCAACATTCATGTTTCTCACATGACATGTTATGCTGTTGATAATAAGAAAATAATTTTTAATACTGTAGAACATATCAACTTTTCACATGGTTGTTGGTTCTTTAAGGTTGTATGATACTAATATTTATTTAGAAACTTGGTGTTTCAAAACACTGTAGTTGCCATTTTTTTAGTGTCCCACTAACACCATGTAGGCGCATTGGTGGAGTGGAGGTATAGCTCCTACTCTTTCTTGACCTCAGCACTAGATGGGGGTGAGTGGTCAGCAGCGCTCCCCGACCGGCTTTTCCCCCGGGAAAGGACCCCGGTACCCATTGGATAGGAGGCTGGGTGGGCCCCAGAGCCGGTCTGGATGCAGACGCTAGAGGAAAAATCCTGTCGGGGGATCGAACCCTGGTCGTCCAGCCCGTAGCCAGTCACTATACTGACTGAGCTATCCCGGCTCATAGTTGCCATTTAGAAATGTTAATTTTGCCTGCTCTTTTATGTTCACAGATTTGGGTTAAGAAAACGGTGGATGGTACCAAAGTACGGATTTACACTTCGCAGTTGAGTCGTGGAAAGATTTCAATCAAACGCAGAGCTTCATAATGTAATTATTTATGTAAAATATTTTATGTTAATAAAGCACAACTTTTTTTTAGAACCTTTCAAGGTCTACGTCATGTATGAATACATGTGAATAAATAAATAAAGATTGCTGCTGAACAGGTTAATGTAGTGGCAACCTTGTGGACTTGCATTTATGAAGTACTTGTTTGGAGTCTTGGTCAGATTATTGGCTATCCTGAGTGAGGATTTAGATTGTCCAGAGTGAAAAAAAAAGGATTAAGCGTTGAATTTCTCTGTTTCAGATTTTATCTTGCAATGAAGCGTGTTTGGAATGCATCGTGGTAAATCATTAGCCATGTTTCCAAGGTCTGGCATCCGAACTGACTGATGGAAATATTCCAAATAGTTATTATCTTACAATTACAAGGAGATATACAATAGGTTCTTCTGCGCTATCAAAGGTAATATGACATAAAATTTTGATATTTTCTAACGTCTCCTCTGGCTTCTTTTTCATTATAGCCATGGATATATGCCTGTAGTTATACCATTAAGATATTCCATTATATTATTATAGGAATAAATGTTTTAGTACAAGATGAAAATTAATGACTGTGCTGTTGCATATCCTAATCATTTGAAAAGTCTAGAAAAGCTTTACTGGGTGTCACGTATGCTCTATCTCTTATCATTTATATAGATTCTGTAACTTCGTATGTCTTTGAAGGCAGTATCAGTCTTATAATGTCAGCCTTTTTAATAGTAATTAAATTTGTATAAGTCAGTATTAAACAGAATGGTTTCTTTATTCTTTCAGTAAATTTTAATGGAATGTAGGTTTCCCAATATTAAGAAAAGTACTTTGTAGTCACCAAATAAAATTACAGTTATTTGAGAAGAATAATCGTAAAAAAATAAACATGTTTAAGTACATTGTTTTCATTTAGGTCAGGGTTATTAAGTTTAATGTTCGTGAAAGTTTTTTGGTCTAAAGAATACTGACGAATCCAAAGAAGATACTAAAAGGCATAGTTACAAGCTGCAACTGTAATCTTGAGACTTGCGGGGTGAGGAAGTATGGTGAAGGAGGAAAGGTAGCCTCTGCCTTTAACGCTTAGGACTTCCTGCATTCCTTGCAAGACTCAAGATTACAGTCGTGTACTGTATAAACAAGAGTGGGGAAGTGTGCATATCTAGTGATTATAAACAGTAACTAAATAGCAGGAAGTTTGTCGACTGTTTTGGTGGCTCATGTTTTATTATTTTACCAATAAGTTTCATGCAAGCATTTATAGTGTTTATTCAAATAATTTTCTATCAGGTAATATGACAAAAATTTAGACCCGTAAATAATGTGAACCTTAGAATGAATGTAAGTGTATTAAACCTGTACATGACATTACTCTTTTTTAGAAGTCCCATATATTGCGGATCATCAAACCTGATCAATATAATTTACAAGAGACATAAAAGTTAATTCATTGTCTCATTGTATAGTGTTCTTTAATCAATTAACCTAGCACTTAAATGACCCATCGGCTCGCGCTCCGGCCCCAGCATCTGCTCCATTCTTGTCTATCCCGTGCTCGGGTAGACCAGTGTCTAGTGGTTTGGCCACGTAAATCCCTGATGCTGTACTCGACGGCAAGAGAGTCTGCCCAACGAGCAGGGGGCCAGCCCACGGACGCTTCCTTTCTTGTGGGTACCACATCACAGTGGCAGTACTCCGTCTTCCATCGTTTCGCCTCACGACGTGGCCTGCCCAGCGGTGCTTCCGCTTCGCCACATGCCGTAATGGGTCCCTAACGCCTGACATCCGTCTGATGTCAACAGAGTGAAGATGGCGGTCTCTCTGCTGGCGTAGGGTGACGCCGACAAGTTGACGCTCAAGGAAGGCATGCCCAATAAAATCAAACTAAACTAAAATTAAAGTGTCGTGATAAAATTTATTGTCGATTTACCATACTGAGTTTAGTTGATACCAGTTTGTGTTAATGGATGGACATACATCACAAAATAAAGGTGCTACTTAGAACAGATGAAATGGTGATGCGTGTAATTTATGTGACAAACCGGTAGATGACTGCGTGGGCCTCTAGACTTTTTATTGGAAAACCTCAAAGAAGTGAATACATTAGAGACTTAGAAATAGTTAATTCCTTTTATTCCTCTTGGGAACATAGGGCTGATATAAAGCTCCTCCACCTCACTCGGTTGTTGGCGAGTGCCTTTATTTCCTTCCAACTTTTCCCCAGTGATCTTGCTTCCTTTTCAATAGATCTCCGCTTTGTAATCCTCAGTCTTCCTCTTTTCCATGCTCCTTGGGGGTTCCAGTCCAACGCTTGCTTTGAAATGCCCTCGTCCTCTTTCCTAAGCGCGTGACCCAGCCACTTCCATTTCCTTTCCTAGATCTGTTGTTGTATTTTCATCTGATTGGTAATTCTAAGAGAGTCTGCCCAACGAGCAGGGGGCCAGCCCACGGACGCTTCCTTTCTTGTGGGTACCACATCACAGTGGCAGTACTCCGTCTTCCATCGTTTCGCCTCACGACGTGGCCTGCCCAGCGGTGCTTCCGCTTCGCCACATGCCGTAATGGGTCCCTAACGCCTGACATCCGTCTGATGTCAACAGAGTGAAGATGGCGGTCTCTCTGCTGGCGTAGGGTGACGCCGACAAGTTGACGCTCAAGGAAGGCATGCCCAATAAAATCAAACTAAACTAAAATTAAAGTGTCGTGATAAAATTTATTGTCGATTTACCATACTGAGTTTAGTTGATACCAGTTTGTGTTAATGGATGGACATACATCACAAAATAAAGGTGCTACTTAGAACAGATGAAATGGTGATGCGTGTAATTTATGTGACAAACCGGTAGATGACTGCGTGGGCCTCTAGACTTTTTATTGGAAAACCTCAAAGAAGTGAATACATTAGAGACTTAGAAATAGTTAATTCCTTTTATTCCTCTTGGGAACATAGGGCTGATATAAAGCTCCTCCACCTCACTCGGTTGTTGGCGAGTGCCTTTATTTCCTTCCAACTTTTCCCCAGTGATCTTGCTTCCTTTTCAATAGATCTCCGCTTTGTAATCCTCAGTCTTCCTCTTTTCCATGCTCCTTGGGGGTTCCAGTCCAACGCTTGCTTTGAAATGCCCTCGTCCTCTTTCCTAAGCGCGTGACCCAGCCACTTCCATTTCCTTTCCTAGATCTGTTGTTGTATTTTCATCTGATTGGTAATTCTACACAATTTTTCATTTGAAATATTTTCTGGCCATCTAATTTTTAGAAGAAACCTTAGACATCTGTTGATATAACTTTGTAATTTTTGCTTTAGTTCTTTAGTGACTTTCCAGGTCTCATGCCATATAATAGGACAGATTTTACGTTAGTATTAAAAATTCTCAATTTGGTATTTAGAGAGAATGAGTTAGATTTCCAAACAGATTTCAACTTGGTAAAAGCTCCTTTTGCCTTTTTAATTCTGTTTACAATGTCTTCGTCTATTCCACCTCTATTGGACACAGTGCTGCCAAGATAACAAAACTGTTCCACTTTTTTATTTTTTAATCTCAATTCTTTAGTTTTTACCTTGTCGAGATGGTGGGGCTTGAGTACCTCAGTGACCCCAAGAGCTACTGGTAGGGCCTCCCTAGCCAGATTGGTCGAGGGGGAGAAGTCAGACTAAGACAGGTACCCTGGTCCTCCAGGTTGGGGGTTGGTCACAAGGCTGACAACCTTGCACCGTAAAAAGGAAGATGTTTCGAAACCTCGGACTTGGACAGATGGACCTAACGGAGGATCGAATGGAAGAGGAGAATTGAGGAGGCCATGGGCCGAATACGGACCGGAGAGACATAGAAGAAGAAGAAAAAGATTTTTAGGCCATATCTTTTTCCTGTTTCATTCAGATCAGAAATTTTTATTTGCATTTCTTCATAGCTTCGTGATAATAAACATATAATCTGCAAAATCCAAGTCTTCTAATCCTTAGAAATAGATGGAGGGATGATATTATGTCAGATCTTACAGAAACAGAATTTGGAGATGTTGATTGGACTGAAGTGTTTCGTGTAGTATAATTATTGAGCTACTGTGAATACATGATGGATGTTTGGGTTTGTTGAAGACAAGGAATTTCTCTGTAACAATAAATTGTTCAAAGGCGACAGTGCACCGTGATTTTAGATGAATCTAAATTCAACTAATGACCCCCCTTCAATCTGCCGTCATTAACTTGAACAGATGCCAAGTTAAATCCCACTAATGCGCAATACTCTAAGCGTGCACAACCTTGTAATTCGGTTGATATCAGGTATGGCATTATACCCACACGAGGATCTGTCTGTGTTATAATTACATGCGTACTCCTACACTGTGTTCAAGACTGAATAGACATTCCACGTCATCTAGACCCAAACCTTAAATTGAAGGGGGGGAACAATTCTCCACATCCAGATGACATTTAATGGACAAACCTGAAATTTTGCAGCTAATGACAGTTTCTATGTGGAAGTATGGTGCTGGCATTTTTTCAGGTTGTGCATGGAGTAGAATGAAAAATGGAATAATGGCTGCAGTTATATTTAATAAGTAGTAGCAGACAGATGACAAGGGGTGGTATGGAAATTTGAGGATTTTTCAGGGTTCTAATAACTCCGCGGTTAGAACACTGGCCTTGTAATCCTGGGGTCCCAGGTTCGATTCCCGGCGGTGCCCGAATTTATAACTTTAACAAACATTAACAATTACTCCATACACACAGAAGAAGGCAATGGCAAACCACTTCTGTATCACCTGCCTAAAAACATATGAACATGTCCCAGTCCGAGAAAAGGATGGAAGGATCGTGTTCATAATATGTCGCCAACCTCCTGTAAAGGAGACGGCGTAATAAGGAAGAATAACTCCACACTGTGTAGACCTTCATGTTAGAAACTGTTCCACGAGGTTTCAGATTTGCAGCCTTTTGTGAATACAGTAATGAATTCTTGAGTTCTGCAAAGAGGCAGGGAATTTCTTGTCTAGCTGAGCGGTTAGCTCGTTAAGGACTGTGTTATATGAAGTGAGGCAGTCAGTGGGTTAGTTGGTGACACTTGAAACAAGCAGCGGAATTTATAGCGTTGAGAAGTGTCTAGGTGTACAATTTTGTAAAGTTTTCCCTGGTTCTTAAATAAGCATAACACTATATAGGCGTATGGGGGGCTGGAGGTATAGCTCCATGTGTTAACCTCGAGGTACATGATAAGCCTTCGGCCGCTTTATCCACGGGATCCATTGGATAGGAGGCAATGTGTTATGCGTTATTAGTTATAAATTTATTTATTCCTGATTAAATGGGTCTGGAAGAGATAAACGCAATACTGTGTTGTGAATTATAACGAAATTGCTGGATCGTTATGAAGTGGATTCTCGAGTTTCGGGCCGGTAGTGACAACGCTTAATTTTTATGGCAATGTTCAAGTATGGCATCATCTCTTTCCCACAAACTCCGCTGAACACTAACTGCGCAAGGTGTTTGTTATTTATGGGTATTATAAAGGAGTTTTGCCCGATTCCAAGACACAAGATAGTCTCCATTACCCTGAGCACTTCAAGGGGAGTTTCCATTTGCTAATCACAGGTCTACAGACCTGTAATCACGTTTCGAAAGCGTTTTGCTTCTTGGTGGTTCTGTCGTAAGCAAATGCACGGGCTGTCAATTTTAACAGCAAAGGAGATTAATTTCATTTGGGAACCTGTATAGGTTGATTCATAGTGAAATTTCTAACTGCGGAAAGAGTCTTAAGATTTGATTTTCAAGCCAAATGTCAGCTGGGTTAGTAAGAATCACTAGCAATCTGTGCAATGAAGTAAATGACAAATCCAATCAGTCTTGGAACTGAGCCCTTTTCGGGGTTTATGACGAGACGTGTGTTGGACCATATAACACATTTTTATTTATATTTGTTCGTGAAGATAATTCTCAGCGTCTGTGGTGAAATCAGATGACATGCACATACCAAAATTGCTTTGAGATTTTGACATTTTTTTACCCAGTCTCTGGATTCAACTGGCTGGGTTGTATAATTTTGCTTGAAACGCCTTAAGAACAGTACAAAGTTTTAAATTATGGTATTTACTCGATTTTAAGACGCACTTTTTTCACATTTTAAAATTTTATGAAATCGGTGCTCGTCTTACATTTGATCGTGTCTTGCAATCAGTATAGCATCTTTTTCTTCCTGAAAACCTATTAAATTCCTAAATCAACAGCGCGTCTTACAATCGATGGTTTTTTTAAAACCGAGAAAAATTACACAAATTATTAAAATTTCTTAAGACAGATATATGAACCTGTCTATAATAATAAGTCAGTAACAATTATTAATAAATTGCCATGAAGTTTCAATATTTCCTTTAGAAGGGAGGATAATATTAAAATGTGTCTGGACAGTATAGTGTCCAGTGGCGAGCTCTTGTGAGCATTGTAATAACTTTGTGTTTCTTCCTGAGCGACTAAGAGCCAAAAGAGTGCTTTCAAGTATTTAATACAATAGTTTTCGAAAATACTTCTCCATTTCTTTCTTTACTGAATTGTGCTGTTTTATTCCGTTAATTCTGCTGGTAGCAGCGAAAGCAGTTTTATTAATCGCATCACTTCTATAGTTTTTGAATGACCTGAACTTCAAATGCAAAGATTAGGCCCTCTGGCTGTTCCGAATTCATAATTAACTTCTACAACTACCATTTCACTCGTACAATGGGATCGTGGGTTCGAGTCCCACTCGAGGCACAGATGTAGGCCTATGCTATTTTTCTGTGTTGTGTTGCGCCGCGCTGTTCTGCGTAGGTAGAGACCTTGCGTCGGGTTAACGACATGTCAAAGGAGTACTGCCAAAAGTCTAAACTGGTTAATAGCTTCAGAAGCAATTCTGAATTGGAACAGGCACAGAGGCCTAATCTGTGAAACAGAAGAACTATAAATCCTTTTAGACATTTGCTGACACTGCTTGGATGACGATTCGCCAGGCCGTGAGCTACACAGCGCACCAACGTACGCGTACTGCCAACATACTCCTAGGTCTTAGTCGAGCGGAGTGCAAGGTGTGTGGTTCGTCTCTCAAATCATTTTCTACCTTCATCTTAACCTATTATAACCCAGTGGTAGTTATATGTACCACCTTCATTAACAGTCAATAATTCTGCATTTTACCCACGGAGTGTATTTATCGGCTCCACATAATCTCACAGAAAACAGCATTCATTTCCCTCAAAGAGCATTAGCCAACTGAACTTTGTAATGGAGAAGTGTGTTTTATTTCAGGTAAGAATTGAATTCTTAAATATTTTTAAGACGAGTTTTGATTTCAAAGGGTTAATGACCAAATAACAAAGTTAATTCTTGTCCATGCCAAAATCTAATCTAATAATTGCATTTAATAATAATATTAATTATAATGATAATGCAAACAAAATTATTAATATTAGGCCCTATTTGCATTTTGAATTACGTTTAAAAATATGTAAAAACCACCAAGTAGTATATGTTTATGCTCCTATCCCAACCTTGTTTATATCGATCAAACTTGGCAACATTTAAATTATTTAGTAATATTATTATTTTTTAGTTCTTGAATTTATGCCTCGGGTCCCGTTTTACCGATCACAGCCGTAAACTCGTTATAAACATATGCGGACAGGTTTGGATACGTTTCTGCCTGTCAGCTGACATAATCTGTGGACGTAAGAAATGAAAATGAAATATTCATTTGTGACAAGTAAATAAGATGATGGTTTTAACAGCACGAACCTATTGGTCTCCCATAATGACTGGGTTCATGTATCAACAACATATCATTATCCCATTAGATTTAGATGAAAGTGAACATCATTTTTTATTGTGATTCACCCAGGATAATTCTTGTATCATCGCTTAGAGGGAAGAGTTTTGAAAATTTAGCACTCACCGCGACGTTGTAAATAACTTATTTTAGTACAGAAGAGAATTTGGTGATTTCCAAGATAAAATCTGTTTTAAAAATGTATTCGCCGTAAAAGCTGTCTTCCTTGAAAGTCTTCATATAACCCATGACAGAGAATTTTACAATTTTACTCGAAAGCGCAGTTAAGTAGACAATTTAGCGAAGGCAGAAAATAGATAAAGTTTCTCTCTTTATCTCAGCAACACCTCCTAAACACTAATACCGGAAATAGAGGTAAAGTCCCATGCATTCTAGGAATCTAAAGTTGATGTGTTTACCTACATTTACGCTCTGGCCAGTTTATTTTCAGATAAAGAGACCCGGAGAGCCCGTCTGGATGTGGTGGTTCAGTTAAGTTGCTAGTCCTGCCAGAAATCGAAACTCAGTCAATCACAAAGTGATCAGAGACTGGCAAGCTTATTTATTTGTTCAGTAAAAACTTTTACCTTCCAAATATTAAAGAGGTGTCTTTATGTGATAATCATTTCATAGCCGTCTTCTATGGGTATCTTTGAAAACTATTAGAAGCAATTTCTTTTTCTTTAATAATGCCTATTCAAAAATAAAAAATTCCATGATATATTTTCAGATATAAATTTTATTGAAATTAGCGGTACTTACTATATTATTTTAAATTTACTCTTGCAACAGCGTTTATCTAGTAAGTTTCTATCTGGAAAATCTGCATTTTACGGTAGGGTTTTTAAGTCAGCATGTACGAAAAACAGGAGACGAGATAAGAATCACGACTTTTTCTAATTTTTCAAAATAAAGAAAATAAACGTGCTTGTAATAACAAGTAGCAATAATAAATAATTTCGCAGGCATACTTAAAAGTGGTCTCGGACTGGATGTGGTCCACGGACCACTGGTTTGGCCACGTTTATCTAGAAGAAAAATATAGAATTTAAGTGTTTTTGAAAACAGAGTACCCAGGAAAATGTTTTTGCACAAGAGACGTGAAGTAAGTTAGGATTGGGAAGTTGTAAAAATAAGGAACAGCGTGTCGAGAAGAATGAGATGGGCGGGGCATGTAGCGCACATGGATGGGACAAGAGGTGTGCACCGGGTGTTGGTCGGGAAGCCTGAGGGGAAGAGACCGCTGGGAAGACCTGGACGTAGATGGGAGGATAATGTCAGGCGGGATCTATGGGAGATAGGAGTTGAAGGAGACTGGATTTTGTTGGCCCAGGACAGGGTCCAGTGGAGGGCTTTGGTTAATTCGGCGATGAACCTTCGAGTTCGTTAAGCCATCTAGTTAGTTAGTGTTGAGCGCAGTTCATCAGGATAGTCAGATCAGTAGGGCTTTATGGGATCAACGTTAGCTAGTATAAAATATACCAGAACTGTATATTTCGTTACGATTTGCAATATGTATTTGAAACATTAGTTATTTGGTCAATAACTTAATACAATGAGAATAATTTGTTACTCTGCAGTGTGATATCTGTAATGTTATTATCTTTGCATCATTATATTTACGTCTGTAATATGGCAAATGTAGTATACACAGTCGAAAAGAACAAGCTTGAAGAATACGTGCACTTCGTATCTGTTCTGTGCCAAATCGCTGTGAGCTGGTATTGCGTTTAATTGGGGATGATTTCGTACTCAGGACTGCAAGCAAAACAATGTTAGATTTTAGGTTGCGATGGCAGCGAGTATGAAAATGACTCGTCTTCCGGGACGTTGCGCCTTGTAGTATGTGTAGGAGTTTACCGGCGTTTCAGAGATTCTTAGTACGATGAGTAAGCCATGCTCGAAGAGGTTTGAGATATGCGAACCAGTTTGACAAAATAAAATTGTGGCCGGACCCATATCTCAAGCCAATCCTCGCTTTTAGAAACCATTTGTTTAACGTCTGTAAAATTCTACCAGACGACACAACATACAAGAAGACATCCATCTTCAATGTCTTCATTATTCCGCTATACGTTACAACGAAGACGTAAGCACATCCAGATCTTTGACTGTACTATGGTTGATTACATTAACACTGCAGAAGTAAAATCGAAATAAAGGACATACGAGCATGCGGAACTTGACCTTGTGGACACTGATTCAAGGCCGAAGCTGCTGTTGACATGGTGGAACCTTGGTGCTCCACCTTACTTCCACATACCGTTATCTCCAGGTTGTCTACTGCAAGGACGTGTTTTATTAACCATTCTTCACGCGTGTCACACTTCGAGAAATTGGCAAAATTGCATTGTACGTTATTTGAAAGTGGTCTGATGACACTCTTACGTCTCCCGTGACGTCATTATCTTTCATTTGATTGACGCCTATTACAGTTTCGAGATTATGTTGCTTCGAGAATATTTTCAGGAACATTGGTCATACATGTAAAATTGATATCGGGGATGAGAATAGCATTTTAAGGGTGAAATCAGGCGGGGTGGGGCAAACCAGGGGGGTGGAATATCAAAATCACTCAACGTTATAAAATCGGAGCGTTGGATAAAATGTTTTGACCCAGGATGGATGAGGTATAATAAATTGCAATTTATGCATTTTGTAATTTGTTTCCTTCCGCCCTCCAAACTAATGTGTATATTTGTTTTAATAAATGAATCGTGAGCATTGATAGTCTGTAGAGCATATGATCGTGGCTTTTCGTGGTTTAAATTTGAATGCGTCAGAATCTAACGGATTGGCTGTCTTCAGGGCTAGCTGTTACGAGATGTTCGAACCTAATACAAGGCCAAAATTCGTGCCATGACATTCTGCAGATCCTGGAACCCAGTATCCTTGACCCCCTCCCCCACTGCTAGCAAATATTCATCTTGCAGAACAAATATGCAGATGCTTAATAATGAACATTACGCCATGAGATCTGTCAAAATAATTAAGCAAGCTGAAGAATCAGGCTGTTAATATTTGGCTTCTTTAAGTGATAATTTGAATAAACTGTTTGACTAACTACCTGAAAAACTATCTTTCTTACTGTTAATGACTAATCGCAATCTAATCAAGCAATGTAAATAACTGATTTTCTTATAACTAGCTAATTATGTAACTGACTGACTAACTGACCTTTTAATTAATCCAGTAGTTATCTACTTCACTAGTTTACTATCAAATTAATTTAATAACTATACCATTCATATCTGTCAGTGTAATGACAACCAGTTAACTGGATTCAGAAATGCAGTCAGTTCCTGAAACGTTTTCTAAGACAGTATAAAATGTATCTGAGACATTAAAGACTGTCCAACATTCTTTTGGTATAGTGAAGTTGTCATTATCACAAAATGTTTGAGAATCGTTTGATTCTTATTTTAATAGTTTTACTGCTTCAAATTAAGATTTAGCAAATCTCTGACTCTAGCGCAAAAGAACGGGAAGATTTTATTTGTTTATATCCATGTTTATGTATTCTTTCTTTTTAATGTTATTTATAAATATGTCCATTGTGATTTTGTTGGTTGGAACGTCGTGTGGACTTGCACGTGACTACCGACGTCAAAATGGCTTCACGATCCAGAATAACACCATGGGCATATTCAGCGCCGTGAGAACCTCAAAGTTCATGGTCTTACATAAAACATTTTCGCTTATATATATATAGCCAGTACGTTGCAGCAGAACGAAAATTTCCGATTATAAGATACGAATACAGGTTTTGCTTTCCAAAGATATTACATCAGCCTTGATCTTCACAACTAACATGCGCGCTAGTAATGGTGACAGAGGCATTAGTGAGCCTTGCTCTAATTTCCATACAATGGTAACGCATCACCTAACGTCAATTGTTTCCAGAGGGCGTATCCCAAAAACAGGAGCCTACTTCGTCACAAATTCAACTAAATCCACTGAGCAGAGTCCTTCTTGAGGAGCTTATATCATCAAAGGTAGTCATGGACTAGGAATAAAAGGCTTGTTTAGGAGAATTCAGGGTTACGGGAGGATAATATTAAAATGGATCTTAGAGACTTAAGATGTGAGGTTATTTACTAGATTAATCTTACTCAGGTTAGGGTCAGTTGCACTCTGCAGTTAACAATGTTATAAACCTTCATGTTCCATGGAAACACGGACGTTTCTCGACCAGATAAGCGTCTATCTGGTTCTGAAGAAACTGTCTCTATCGTAGAGACAGTTAATGGAATGCGAACTCGAAATGAACTAATTTACTTCGTAGCTGAGTTTGAACGTGACTTAGCTGCTGTACCAAGTAATCAATTCATATCGATCATTTATAAATAATGTAATAATCAGAACCGGTTCGCCCTGAAGCCTCGCTACCAAGCTTCATCCCGACCAACAACTTGGTCATTCATTTCCGACACGTCAAAGTAATAGCTAACACCAAATTTCTCACTGTATTTTTCGTTTTGCA